AATCTTATCTTAAAGAGGGAATCCCTATGGTTAGAACTTATTAGTATTTAATCTTGAACGTTATGAACTCAAATCTTGAGATGAGCATGGTGAGATGTGAGATAGGAGAAGATTATTTGTTATTATATAGTCTATTATCGATCGTAAAAAAATTAATTTCTTATTAAAAATGGAATTATATACCCAAATTTCAATTCATTTCAATTTATCATTGCTCAAATTAACTCCAATCTTATGAGAAAGCAAGTTGACCATGTGATATTTAATTTTGATCTTCAATCATTTATGTCTTTAATTTAAATGCTGCTAATTGGTTGCTAACTTAGTAAGACAACTAGAGAAGTAGAAACCAATAAATCAGTTGAACAAAGACAGTTAACACACCTCCATTAATTTTGGTCCACAAATCATTATAGATTTCATATCATGCAAATTGAAAAGTATAGTACCCTAACTGCTATATTTTTTTCCATCTAGATTACTAATTTTTTTTTTAATATTCATATGATTTTCTTTCATATAATATGATCATACAAGAAATAAAGATTAATAATTTAAAAGACAATGGCACATTTGTTTATTAATAATTTAAGCCATGCAAATTAGTAAAATAATTTAGAAAGATCAAAGACTCAAATCAAATATTGTTCACAATATTATTTAACAATTTTAAATTTCATATGTAATTAGGTTACTATTTACTTGATGCTGACAAAAAAAGATTACCAACTATTAAATATATATAATCATAAAAATGCTAGAGAAAGTGAGGTTCTACCTTAGTTTTTTTTTTTCCTTTTTGCAATCTTCATCAACCAACTTCCAACTAACCTTTGCCATTAGTAACCCATAACTTTTTCTTTCATAAGAATAGTAATTAACTAATTATTATACTTTTTACATTATTATTTTTTTGAAGGATCACATTATTATTTTGTTGATTTTAACTTGTAAATAAGGACTTTAGCCAGTAGCCAATAAACATTGTCTTAACATTAAGGAAAATGTCTTCAAACCTTGAATTTCTTGAAATTTTAAGATTATGTGCGAGTTTGGTCAAATTTTACATTAAATTATTTTTCAATATAAATGCAACTTATGTGTGAGTTTAATTTAATTTTATATTAAATTAAACCTTAAAAATAAGAAAATGAGTTACAGATAATTAAATTTTTGACTTATTGATGTTATCTTTGTATAAACTAATTGAGCAAAACCTTATATTCAAATTTTATTTAATTATATGTTGGTTCATTGATTGATTGATTGATTTATTTATTTAATATAATACTTGATTAATATGATAATTTTTTGGATTCATAACGATAACTTCTTTTTTACTAATACTTGCATTAAAAAAGCCTTTAGACAAACAAATTAACATGTAGCCTATTGATAAAATATTATATTTTTAATTTTTGTAGTCAAATTTTAAATCTTAAGGCTTTAAATACAAAAAAAAAAAAAATCTTCAACCCGCTACTAACAACATATTATCCTTATTTTTTTCATTATTTTTATCTTATTTATCATTACGGTCATACTTAAAAGATTGAGATCAAACCCAATCTTAATTTACTAGCTACTACGATTAAGTTGTATCTCTAGAGAGGAATGGCATTTTTTTTTATTCATTTTGACGATGAAGAGAGAGTAACGGTAATATATAGGCAGCTTCTATTCACACCAATTTTTAAATGATTTTTAAATGAAATTATTTAATTATTTTTTTTCTTCCTATCTCTTCCGCTTTTAAATTTTCGGACTTACAAATTTAAAAATTTAAAAATTTTTTGAATTTATAAATTTAATAGTTTTTAAAATATTTAGATTTATATATCCAAAAATTTTTAAAAACATTTGGATATAAATATTTTAAATTTTAAAATTTTTTGTAAAATATTTTTTTAACTGATTTTTTTTCAAATCTAAATGTAGTTTATTGAATATGAATAATGATAAATTATATAATTTATCAAAAATATATATCCCAAAAATTATATAACTTAATAAAAATACATATCCATAAATTTTAGAATTAAAATTTTAAAAAAATTAAATAATCTCATCTGAAAAATTAAAAAAAAAAGCTCATCGGTGTGAAACCAAAAATGGAGGTATCTTCGATGCCTCTCTAATATATATAAGCCAAGGTACAAATTTGGCGCTGGCAGATAAGAAAATAGGGTCCGGAGGAAACGACCCCATATGTCTGCGTCGTTTACCGTACCCTCATGTGCGCATGTTAGCGAATACGAGGGAATTATTCAGACCTGCTGCAGCAGAGGACACCAGATGGACCAATCAGAAAGCTCCATCCTGGAAAATTTAAGACACCAACTGACCCAAATTGAACTCTAGCTTATGTTAACACTCGAGAAAAGATAAATTCCTCAGCCCCAGCGCACGATAGCACTCTTACGGGGAGGGAAGGCAGAGCACATGGGCTGAAACAATGGTGCATTTTCCCTTTTTTTTTTTTTTTTTTCAGTGATAGAACAGAGGAGCTTACAATTATTTACTTTTATTTTTTTAATTTTACAAGTCGCCCTTATCTGCTTAGGTATACAATATACCAATCATTGCTTTGGATTTGTCTACTCATTGGGATTTTGCAACTGGTTGGGGTCAACTCTTTTCTGAATTGCTGTTAATTAACTGGTTTTTATCCAATATCAAATAGTGGTAATTAACATTAACTATTTTTTTTATTAAAGATAAAGTAAATAAATTTTATTTTGATTGTCAATTTTAAAAATATTTTATATTGTTCTTTAATTGTCAGAAAGTATATCATTTTAATTTTTTTATCTGTAAAATCATTTATTTTTTGACATTAAATATCAGCTGATATCAAACATTCATATTTAACTTTTAAAAATAATTAATTTCGAAAAAAATTTTAATATTTCACTTAATGCCTCTGCCGCCGCCTTTCTCGTTCCCAAGTCTTAACCACTCCAAGGCTCCACCGCGTAGGGTTCTAACCAATCCAAAAAAGCTAACACTACTGGCACTTCCGATAACTCCAAACGCCGCTGCTTTCGCCTTGAAACTTTCTTCCTCATTAACTTCCCTAACTTCGACAGCACCTTCCTAAGTCGCTCAGTCTCAAGATCCGACGCCGCCTTGATCGTCGCCTACAAACACATTGATGCTTCGATTTGCAATTTCACATCTTGCTCCACCACGAGCATTTCGATCAAAAGCTTCGACAAAACTGTAAATGGAAGTTTCGTGAATGAGACGAAATGGCGATAGTTGCCTCGACACAGGCGAATTAGGGTGGAAACCATCTTAGAAAGTTGAGAAGACACGATGTTACCGTGCGAGTGGGACATCAAAGTCAAAAGGCTTACGCAAGAAAGTGGACAAGAAAATTGTGCCATGTGAGGCCTTCGCGACCCTGACATTGCCATCCTTTTCCGCGGCCCAAGAAAGTGGACAGCCATCACAAATAGCATAAACAAAAAGTCCCAAACTGACAACCGATCTCTTCCCCCTCGCCGAATCGGTAGGGATCAGTTTGGTCCCATTCGAATTTGGTGGTATCGCTTGGGCCAAACCCGACCCTTACCGATGCTCGCTGACCTTTGCTGACGAGAGCAAAGGTCTGAGAAGAAGAGAGGAAAAAGGAAAAAGAATCTTTTTAAATACTGTGTCTTTTAAGAATTTATATTTAATATATTTTCATTGTATAAGCTTTAGATATTATTTTATTAATAAATTAATATTAATTTTTAAAATAAATATAAAAAATAAAATTTTTAAAAAAATTTATTAAAATGATATCATATGATAATATATAAAATATAAAATTATTTTTTATATGTTAATAATTAATTGATATCGCATATATTTTATATGATGTAAATTGATATTTAATGTTAAAATAAAAAAGTTATATATTTTGACAATTAAGAATCAATATAAAAATTTTTGAAGATTAAAGATGAAAATTACATTTGACCCAAAATTCAAGAATCTTTATGATACTTACTATTAAAGACGTTTATAAGTACTACTAAGAATAGTAAAAATATTATTTTTATATTATTTTAAAATATAAAAATTTTTATGTAAAGATGGTAATTAATTTAAAATATTATATAATTACAAAATTTAAATATACTCGAATCAATACATGAAGCTTGGATATTGTATATAATAAAAATCAACAAAACTCAAAAGTTATAGATAGCTTACATTTTTTGAAAAATTAATTAGTTGAGTATCTCTAAGATTTATTAATTAAAATAAGGAGTAATGCATGAAATTGACATAATTTTGACCGTTCTTTAGATCATGTTTTAAAATCTAATGTGGGTGGTGCCCAGTGCCCATTCATTCACTTGGTAAAGAAGTAAAGTGCAAATGAGTACTACAAGGATGAAGTAAAATTTAGTAAAGTTGATCTAAAATTTACTTAATTAAGCCAAGTATCACTTCTTTAATTTAAATGTGAATCCTATATGTAAACACCTATAGAAGAGCTTTAGAATCTAAAACTATATATATATATATATATATATTTGAGCTTATCAATAAATGATCTTTTAGTGATACATATATTTTGAGATATAGTAAAAAATAATTATAAATAAAGATAATTCTGTTTATAAAATTAAAAATTATATTATTAATTAGAGTAATAATTTATGTATTCATATCATATTTATTTTATATAAAATAATTATAAAATACAAAAATTATATTATCAAATTTGCATTAATACTTTAAATAAAATATATGTTTTTTATTTTTTAATTTTTATCAAATTCATACAAAGGTCATTAAAATTTTTAATAATATTATTTTATATTTTTATATTATTGTTATATCATATTACCATATCTATCAAAAGCAAACTGGGACACAACTATTTAAAACTCTCATTGTAACATTTTAACCAACTTTTCATCCAAAAAAAAAAACATGAAAGTGAGATTATGTTGAGTCCCAGCTGGTTCTGTCGGCGTAGAGTATCATAGCATTCCCATAAGCAGTGGAATTAAGTTTTACCTTTGGTTAACTACTAACCGTCTTGCTTAGATACTTAACCACCTCTCTCTATTTCTCTCTACAAAATTCGTAACTGAAAAAAAAAAAAATTTACAATAATTCCTCTGTTGTTTCCTGCTATAGAGTGAAGTGAAAGTGAAAGCTTTAGAGAACTCAACAGCAATGAAAAAAGGAGAGGATGATCGGAGACGAAGATTTCGATGCCTTTGAAGAATGATCGTTAAAACGGTTCGTTTGGTTATTGAAACGCATTGGCAGCATTGGAATTGAACTGAAGATTCCGGCAATGATTTCGAGATCCGAAGAAAAAAAAACTTTTAAGACAAAAATGTATTGATTTTTCGTCTTTTTTTTTTCTTTTTTTCTCCTCTTAATTTCTCTTTTTGTTCGTAATTTTGACTTGAAAAAAAATCGAGTAAAAAGTTAAAAGCAATGGAGTCTCGGATGGATCATTATGAGATCATGGAACAGATCGGCCGTGGTGCTTTCGGTGCAGCCATTCTCGTTCATCACAAATCCGAGAAGAAAAAGTATTTTTCTAGTATCTCACTTTCTGAATTTTTAGTAATGTGTAATTTTTTTTTGAATTTATAGTGATTTTTTTCCAAAAAATTTCAGGTACGTGTTGAAGAAGATCAGATTGGCGCGGCAAACGGAGCGTTGTAGGAGATCTGCACATCAAGAAGTTAGTTTAATTTTTTTTAAACAATTTAATCCGTAATAGGGAGTTTAATTTCCAATTGATAATTTGGTTTGAATTTTGTGGAATGCAGATGGCACTAATTGCGCGAATTCAGCATCCTTACATTGTTGAATTTAAGGAAGCTTGGGTTGAGAAAGTAAGATACCGTACTACTTTTTTGTTTTTGCTAAGAATCTGGAATAAAAAATGAAACTTTTACTAGTAGCTTTTTAAGTACGTGACAGCCATTTTCAATGTTGATTTTGAGTTTTGTGATTGTAATGTAGGGTTGCTATGTTTGCATTGTTACTGGATACTGTGAAGGTGGTGATATGTGAGTTTCTTAGCATGTATCAAGAACTTTGATTCGGAGTTTTTGATTTTGAATTTCTGCAATTATTGCAATCTGTCAATATTTTTCTTTTTTCTTATTCCTTTTAACAGGGCTGAATTGATGAAAAAATCAAATGGGGTGTATTTCCCTGAGGAGGTAATTGAATTTCTCTATACCTGTTAGTTTTACAAGGTAGTTTTTTCTTGGGTTATGAGTTATGACTTACGGTTAACAATGATGATTATGAACATTGTACAGAAACTTTGCAAGTGGTTTGCACAGCTACTTCTGGCTGTTGAATATCTGCATTCAAATTTTGTTCTGCATCGTGACCTAAAAGTATGTGCATAAATTTAGAATAGTCTTTCTGTTAACTTATTGGTTTATGGACTGATTTTTGGCACTATCTTGGCAGTGTTCCAACATTTTTCTTACCAAAGATCAAGATGTCCGCCTTGGTGAGTTTGTCTTTTCCCTTTTCTTCTTGGCTTCTTACAGGTTCTCTCTCATTTTCCTTTTTTTTTTGTTTTCTCATCATTGAGTTATATTAATATCCTACGTGATTGCATATGTTGTGATTGTTATCCTAAACTTTCTTTTTGTTCTTTACTGGTTTAGGGGATTTTGGGCTTGCCAAAACTCTGAAGGCAGATGATTTGGCTTCCTCGGTATGTACTATTTTATGAAATGATTTTTAATAACCATTTCTTTTAATCTTTTTTTCAGCCATCTCCAAGGATGGGAAAGAATCTTTGGGTCATTTTTTAATTGTTTCTTTTCTTTTTCTTCCTACACTTGGTTAATTAGCTTATGTTATTTAGGTTGAAAAAAAGATTTTTGTTAATATTTGGGTCTGTTTGCTCATGCCTCAATGCTTCTGTACATTTTATGCAAAAATCTTTCATGGTAACTTGGTACTCATAAAAGTAGCTTTTTCATTACATATTGCAGTCTATCAAGGTTGACTGTCACGTTCTAATATGTTGAGAAACTGATAGAGTAGAAAATAACAAGATGTGTTAAAATGAACAGGCATAATGTGTGCCACAACTTGCAGTTAAACTTAGTGCTAATTTTAATTTTATCTGCCAAGAACAAATTGTTACTAATTGTCAAATGAAAGTTATAATAAGACAACTAATTTAACATAAATAATCACTTTTTTCTTCAGGAAAAGAATTAAAAGCAAAAAAAGTCTCTTGTTGATACCTTAGTGTATTCTGGGGTGGATGACCCAATTGCTGAGAAAGGAATAATATATACAGTATTCAATTTCTGGTTAGTTAGTTAGAGCATACTTATATTTGACAATAGGACAGAGATGAATTTAAATTTTTTGAATGGCCTTGTATTAATAATTTAACTTAAAACAAGCTAAAATTTGCAAAAAGATTACATATTGGAGTGCTATGTCTTTTCAATCGTAAATGTCCAAAGACATTTTAGCATCTATAATAGTATCTACTGGGTTAGAATGTGTTATTTGTAGTTCCAGTGCAAGTTATTAGTTGTTTTGTACATGACTCAGGTGGTTGGAACTCCCAATTACATGTGTCCTGAACTGCTTGCTGATATTCCTTATGGTTTCAAGTCTGATATCTGGTCTCTGGGTATGTCTTTTCCTGAGTATATATTTGACATGTATAAATCTTTTTTTTGGCTAATTTGCTTCTTGTTGAACAGGGTGCTGTATGTATGAGATGGCTGCTCATCGCCCTGCTTTTAAAGCTTTTGTAAGAGTTCTTACAGTTCTTTTGGTTGAATCTGTTTCTTGTATTCTGTAATGACCTTACCACAACCCTTCTTTTTAGGTGGAATTTATATCCTATTTTGGCAATTATCTTGTATTTCATTTGATATTATGTTAAACAAGGAAATTGTAAAATTTCTAAGTTTTTTTTCTTCCTTTTATCTTATTGTGGAATTTTCTGCCAAATTTTATAAAACTTTCTGTCTGTTGTTTATCTGAATTAGGAATAAGTAGTAGCAACCTTTGTTAGGTTCATAACAGTTTTCCATTTTCCATTCTCCACTCTTTTACACAATGCTTTCAAAGTACTTAATGTTGTCTGCTTGTCTGGTGTGATGTGATGTCTTTTGAAATGTTTTCTTCAACTGCTAGTTTTATGCCTCCACTAACCATGTAAATTATACAAATTTAATTCAGCTAATTTCTATCAAACTTATTGGTCTAGGACATGGCAGGGTTGATAAGCAAGATAAATCGTTCCTCTATTGGCCCTTTGCCCTCTTGCTACTCTCCATCCTTGTAAGTCTTAATGCATGTTTTAGAGGTCACTGTTGTGTATGTTTTCATGATGACTGATTATTCTCCATGATTTTTCATGCTCTGACTGTGCTTTTTAATGTTTTAATTTCTCCTCATTTTCTTATTTATTTACCATTTATTTTGTTCCATTTTCTCTTAGGAACTGCTACTGCTGTGCAATATGTCTACATTTTGTTTCTTCATTTATAACTTATATCAGCTCATGGTTTCTACAAATATTAACTTAGTAATAGTTAGATCTTGCGTTAAGGCTTAATTGCTATGGTGTTTTGTTAACTTATTATTTTTTTTGGTTTCCCTTTTTGCTTTTAATTTTTTCTTTTATATATTAAATGTTTGGACAACGTGCAGATCTTTTAAATCAACTTGTTTCTTACTCACCTAGGAAATTTGAAACTAGTTTCATGGAAAATTTTTTCCCCTTTATGAAGAACGAAATAGTGAAATTTCATTTAAAATCCCAAGGGACTCAGTGAGACCTGTATCTGAGTAGTATAATGCTTTATCATATGTCAAGTAATTAGCTCCTCGCTACATATTAGTTAGTTTGTTTGATGTTACACATGCAGGAAAACACTTATCAAAGGCATGCTAAGAAAAAATCCAGAGCATCGACCCAGTGTAAGTATTTCCTTTTGCCCAACTTTAAGAAATTTCCACCTGCAGGACTTCAATATAACAATTTGAGTTTTCACCTTGTTTAGGCATCAGAACTTTTGAAGCACCCTTATTTGCAGCCATATGTTGATCAGTATCGTCCGTCCTTCAGCTGCCCGTCAACGAATTGCTCAGTGGATAAGCATATTTCCACTGGTCGTGATAATAGGAAAAATATGGCTGAGAGTCAGAATAGTAATAGCTCATGTAGTGATAAAGATAGTTTGCTTTCAGGTGACAGAAACACTGCCACAATGGTTTCAACTAGCAATAGTAAGGTCACTGACACGGATTCAATTTCTAATGACGATGAAGATGGCACTGAGCAGCACCCGCCAAGGGAAGAAGAGAATGGCCCCGTTATTTTCACTGGCAAAGTTGATGAAAAAGGAATGATGAAACCTTCTTATGCAGAACGGGGATCTAATGTACAATCAAAGCAACCAAAAACCATCAAAAGTATAATAATGGCTTTGAAAGAAGGGAAAGTAAGAGAAAATATTTCCCCAATGAGAGGCAACTGTGCGAAAGTTGTAGGTGGATTGACTCAAAGAAATAATGTAGAGGCATCACCCAAAGTTCTCAAACCACCTGCCCCTGCTCTGGGTTCAAAGTCTAATGCAGATACCGCTACTGTTGTTTCAGGAAAAGTACCATTAGATTCTGCAAAAAATATACCAGTATCACACCATTTGAAGCAGCAGGTATGACTGCCACTTAGCAGTTCTATTTTAATATAATTCATTATTGGTATCCTCACTTATTTTGCAAGATTCATCATTCCAGTTACCTGTAATTGAATCCTCCCCAAAGACTAAACCTAGACATGAAGGGATTCCTCCCCTTGCGCCTACGAAGCATGTTGCTGAAGATGGACTATCTTCTAAGCCTAGGCAAAAAACTCCTCCTTCCAACGTTGCAATAAGATCATCAATTTCCGGAAGAATGAAGCATGCCGGAACTGATGCTTCAAATGGAGCATGTAACATACCAAAGTTAGGATATACAGGAATAAACCAGAGCCATGAAGCTATTCCTCATCAACTGCCCAATGGTTGCCTTACAAATGTTTCCAGGGAGATTACACAAGAGGTTGAGATAGCTCTAACTGGAGCAACCAAGGGGGTGCAAGCAGATAGCGGCAACTCTATCTCATCTTCAATCTCAATTCAAGCATTTGAGATTTGTGATGATTCAAAAACCCCTTTTAATGACATGACAGGACAGACACAAGATCATGAGATAATCACTCACCTCAAGAGCTTGGAATTGCATCCACCATGTAGCTCACCTGCTTCTCTGCAATCAGAAATGCCCGAGGTTCTGTTGAGAGAAAGCCTTGGGCACGATCATAAATCTGTCACGTGTTCTACTGAAGAATCTGGTCCTATCCAGGATCTTATGCATTTCACATCAGTTGATGCAAAAGTGAGTTTGAGTGCCCCTTTGAACCTTCCAGTCCTGAGTTCCACAGAAATTTCTGTTTGTAAAGATGATATAGCTGTAAGCAGGACAATTAGTATGGATGATACTCCTTTAAGCAGGACTAGTAGGGATGATGCTACTTTAAGCAGGACAAGTAGTAGGGATGATGCGCCTATAAACAGGCCAAACAGCAGGGATGGTGCCCATATAAGCGGGTCAAGTAGCAGGGATGATGCCCCTATAATTAGGTTAAGTACTGGGGAAGATGCCCCTGTAAGTGGGCCAACTACTGGAGAGGATTGCCCCATAAGCAGGCCAAGTAGTAAGGACGAAACTGTGGCAAGCAGACCTAGTAGTAGGCCTGATATGATGCTCCATTCAAATCTTTCTTCTGCATCAAGTGGTGATGACAAGTTCACCGTAATGGAACTTCTCTCATCAGTTGCAGAAACTATGCCTTGCATTGCCTCACCAATTTCAGCTAGCCAGAAGAATTCACAGCCAGATAAAGGAACAAATGTGCAGAATCCAACAATTGAAATACCGGTTGCGAGCTCTCGGCCTCCAGCTTTTGATGATGTTATACATGTTATAAGGCACAGTAGCTTCCGTGTTGGCAGTGAGCAGCCAGTCATGGAAAAAGTAGAAATGGGTGTTCAAAATGTGGATGTTGGGAAACTCATCAATGTTGCGAGGGATGAATTAGATATGAGAAACATGACTAGTCCAGTGACCCATAAGTCGTCAAGTTGCTCTGAAGCTCTAAGTTCAAAATCAAATGTTTTGGAGTGTTCTGGTGTTAAAGAAATGGATGTTAGGAACTCTATTTCTTCATCTCGAAAATGCGATTCGCCGGAGCCTGCAAAGCCAAGCTCTTCTGTGACAGAAGAGGAGACACCAGCAAAGGAAACGTTGGATGTCAATTCTTTTAGGCAAAGGGCAGAGGCACTTGAAGGGCTTCTTGAATTGTCTGCAGAGTTACTGCAGCATAACCGATTGGAAGAGCTCTCAGTTGTTTTGAAGCCTTTTGGAAAAGACAAGGTGTCCCCAAGGGAGACAGCTATCTGGTTAGCCAAGAGTCTGAAAGGAATGACGATCGAGGATTGTGGACGGAGTTCATGAAGCATTATTTATGGGGTAAGCATTTTATTTTTTGGTTTTTTTTTTCCTTGTTCATTCACATTGCTTTTCTAATTGTTAGCTTCATAATTACCATATGCTCATCTTCCTTCTCTTCCATATGAATTTTTAAACAGAACAAGCAGGTCTTGTCTTTTCACCTCATCCTGTAATTCTTTTCAATGCATTTTGTTATTTGTACATAGTTGACAATACGAATTAAGTAAACTTGTCGTCTAGACAAATGTATGGATGTGCTGTAGAATTAGAACATGCCGAATGCAAATCAAAGTGCAATTTGTAATGATTGAACTTTTGTAAGTTTATAGTCCGTTTGGCGTTGCATTTCGGTGTAGAAACCCACATTTCAGACCCAAAGATGCCAAACATAGCATTTTTTTTCCCAACCAATATATGGATGAAATGATTTTTTTTTTAATTTTATAAATGAAAAAATTATAGTTAATTTTTTAGATATCAAGTTTTATTTATATATTTTAACTTTTCATGATAATATCAAACATTAAGAAATTTAAATTATAATTTTTAATAATAATTTCTCACAACATTTTTCAAATTTTTTTTTTTAAATTGAGTTTTTTCAACTACAACAATAATGTGAAATTAAAACTTAAACGTAATTTAATTGACATGAACTGAGAAAAAAAAAAAAACGAAATGAAATGATAGATTTAAGTGATATAAGAAAAATAGACTACTAATCTGTCTTGAAATTTGTCTAAAATGTTCATTTGGACGTACTTTTTCTTTTGAAATGACATATCGAAAATTTGCCTTCTGGTCGGAGTCTTTCTCGTACAAGAAGCAGACAAATTGTGAGTTATTGATTTTTGTTAATTACGTTTCGCTATTTCCAGTAAACAAGAAAAAAAAAAAATCTCTATACAGTAATATTCCATGTGGGAATATGAAGTTTTTCCGTCCATAATAGACAAAATCAAGGGGAAGCATTTGGTTTTCACTTAGGTATATATATATATATTACTATTTCTGTATTTCATAATTTATATGCTATTGTGAAAAAAAAAAAAAAACAAAACAAAACAAAAGTTCAAAACTAGTATCAAATGTGTTTCGGGGCTCCCAAATGTGCAAGGGTTGTTGTTTTTTTTTTTTTTAATTTGTAAATATTTCAAGGAGCTAAAAAAATTTAATAAAAATAATATTATTATATTTAAAATGTGTCAAAGAAATTTTTTTTTTGTTTTCCGAAAAAAATAAATTGATAGTTTATTTGATTAGAAGGAAGGTTCCTACCGTATTAAAGATTACATTTTATGACTGGACCCTTAATTTAAACCAAATTATTTAGTCTATTGAATCAAATCAATTTTTTTTTTTTTTACAAATTCTCAAGAACCATTTTTCCCTTTTCAACCTCCAAGAGAAAATAGTAATTATTTAGGAAAAAGTAGCAGGAAGTTGGGATAGAAGACGATTATCAATCCAAAAGCAATATCCAACCTCATTTCATTTAATTTATTAAATAAAAATAAAATAATTGTATGTTATTGATTATGTATAGATAAGAAAAGTAGTCTATTGGTCCACACTTGACTAATTAATAAAAGTTAAAATTTTATAATTTATATCTGTCTTTGAATTTGTTTAAATGTCCATCAGCACTTCCTTTTCATATGAAATGATAAATTGAAGATATGCCCTTTGATTGGAGGGTTTTTTTTTTTTTTTTTTTTATGTAAAGGATAGATTAAAAATAAAGATCATAAATGTTAAATTTTAAAATTATTAGATTTTTTTTAAAAAAAATAAAATATAAATTAATTAAATTAAAGTTTGAATTCTTTTGTTCGGAGTCTTTCCCGTAAAAGAAGTGAACAAATTGTCACTATTGGTTTTTGTTAATTTCTTTGTAGTTTCGCAATACACTGCGGGATATCTAGAATATGAAAAAGGTGAAAAGTGAAGCATTATTTGTTGAGTATAAGTGTTTATGTTTAGATCTAATTTGAATCAATTTATATTTGATTTTAATAATTTATATATTTATTTAAATTTAATTTGATTTGATATTTTAAAATTTTTTTAATTTAATTTAAATTAAAAAATCAAATCTCAAATTTATTCAAAAAACCTAATTTATATAATAAAAAATTAAAAATTCTTTTTTAAAAAATAAAATATAAAAATAAAAATTCATATACATATATATATAATTATATATATTTTATCAAGTAAGATTAGATCAAATTCGAAATTTAATTTTTTATTTAAAATTTGATTCAAAATTTAAATAAATTTAAAAATTTTATTTAATAAACTTTAATTTCTTATTCTAATTCTCTTAAAATTTGAATAAATTTTTTAATTTAATCGAATAATTCGACCCAAAACAGGTTGAGACCTAAATTGTTGTTACCGGGACGTCTACAAATTCTCGTATCCAAACATTTTCTGTATTTGACCTATTTTCTTTAAACTTTATTTAATTCGACAATAATTAAATACTCCCCTCTGTTCAACTTTACTCACTGCTTACGTACCAGATTTACTTAAATTTCTGTATGAGGAGACAATCAGCATGTTGAGGAGAGTATGTAGCAGCTTCCTGTCGTATCCTGCACAAAAAAAGAACGACTGTCAGTCACATTGGTGGCTAAGTGTCTACTCTTAATTACCTTTTGACAGTCAATATGTTCATTTAACACGCCATTCTCATTAAGTTTTTTTAATTAATTACACGTTTATATTTTGTAAAACATTATCTGTTAAGAATCATGCTAGGGCAAGTCTTTGAGCTAAATTTTCAGAAATAACCCTACCATTGGCATGCTACCATTGGAAAGTCAATTTTTTCTTTTTAAAAACATTTCATTGTCAATTCTTTTTAATACGAATGTCCTATAAATTGTAGGATTCGACCTACTTGCTTTGTCCAAATTTTCTTAGTGTCAAACTTGAGATATGAAATATTCAAGACGTACGTCTCACCACTTTGGCACGTTTTTCTGAAAATAATTTACACGAAGTTTTATAAATAAAATTTTGTAAACAAAGTTCGTAAAATTTTTTATTAAAAATAGATAAATTAAATTAAAATTAAAAATTTTGATTTGTCATCCACTTTTCTTAATTCCCTTCGATTCTTTTTTCCCTTGTTTTTTTTTGGGAAGAATTAAACAAAAGAAAACTACAAGACAAGTCTATTATTAACAGGGACTAGGGATGTCTGTGGTGCAGTTGTAAACATAACCACTCTCAACATGCTCTCACAATTGATTAAATAACTCAAAAAGATAATAACAAAAGCTTTCACACGCATCCAAATGATTAAACGGAGACAAATTTTGGTTCCATAACTTAAAAGTGCCACACGAATATATAATAAATGGGCAAGGCATAGACAAATTTATCATGCAATCTTCACAGCAAATTTTGCATGAATTATGAAGTTACTACCAGAAACCATATTTAAAAGATATAATCAAGGTATAACCTTATTGATAACTTCTAATCGCAAGAGTCCGCCCAACAATGCATGCTAGTCCATGCGTACTTCGCATCTCATAACAGGTTTCTCACTGTAAGTGAACTTAGGGGGCTTCGTCCAGCAACCCTCTTGAAAGCCTGCACCACGAACCCAACTTAAATTTCGTCTTACTTTGTTCAATAGTAAAATGTTGCAACAATACCTTGCTCTTGCTCTAATATAAGAACTGAATTAACATAAAGCAGTTTAAATGATAATCACACCAGCATATGGATGGATTTGAACAAAAGCTCATATTCAGAAACCTAAATACATAATTCTATATTTCATGAGGATTCAATTCATACTAAGCTGTCAATGGGATGAACGGCCGCAAACAGTCAATCCTCCTCCATAGGTATATCTGGAATATCAAACCTGTCTTCCTCAATAGTTTTATTAATCACAGAAACAGGAGATGGTAATATCAAGTCAAGGAAACAAGAATTTGGCTCTTCTGATAAACTAAACAGAAAAACAGAGAGATCCAATGTTGATAATACATCACTGATCTTCCACAGTCAAAATATTGCATCATACATTCTTTATTTAATATTGGAGGTGTCTTTAGATATATAATAATGGATATTAATTATGACACTTTAATGCATGCATGCATAGAGAAGATTGGAGGCAGATATGGGCATCTCTATTTGAGAAATGAAGAAACGACATTACCAGTTTCTGCTTTTTTTTTTTTTAGCAGAAAGCATTAATATCAAAAGAGAATCCAATTTTCAAATACGTAGAGTTAATTCTTGCTTTAAAATTGAACTAATGCATGTCAATTCCCAGAAATTCTATCCTTTGGTGAAGTCTTAAAAAACAACTTACAACCTACATTATGATATCTTGCTTTCTACCACTTTAAAGACCAATTTCATACCTTTTCCTACTGATTTATCGCTTCCCTCTTAACACATTACAATATATGACATCTTTTAAAAACCTAAGACCAAATAAGTAAATTATAAATAAGCACAATTACCTCATCAAAGGGACAAAAATCTGTAATAAAATTTTTATATTCAAAATTATGAAAAAGGAAATGAACACTTGAAAAGATAAGGATATCTAACAGCATAAGATCATCCTCCCTCTCACCACAATTGCTAGCTCCTTTATAATTTCAGGAGTAACATATATTGAGAAGGGCACAAGGATCATTGATTGTCAAAAAAAGGAAGCAGGAGAAATTTAAAAGTAGTTATTAAGTTACTGTGACCTTGTGAGCCAGTGAGTGGGTGGGCGGGAGTGAGAGAGGAGAGAGAAAGGCAAGTCTTACTAATTTATGCTTTTGTGTCTCAAGTAGAATTCTAAGATTATTTTTATCTTCCTTGAATAGTTCACTCTTGTACCTACAAGAAATGAAGACTAAAGGTGAGGTATTCCATAATCCGTTCAGTTTCCTTAACAAAAGGCAGATCAAGAAATTTTAAAGAGCATCTGCAAAACAAAAATAACATGAAACAAATATGAAAGCCAAGTATGGCTGAGCCAGCAGCATCATTATACCTGAGGAGAAGAGATGGAGGGGATGGTGTCACTCCATTACTAACACTTTTTTTTCTCATGCATTTTAATAATTCTCTTTTCCTTAACTTGTTTCAATCAGTAAGGCAGAACTACGAATAAATTAGGTGATGCTTGACATAAAGATTTACCTCAGCAAAGGCCTAAGATTCTATCTCACATCTCATAGTTGAAATTTTTATGCATATTAAATAAAATGGGAACTAAGTGACTTGCTCAAAAGGTAAGCCAATATCTCTAACAAATTTTACTGACCTTTTTACAAATGCCAAAAGTAATTGATGCCATATTACAGGCATTATCCTTGTATCCTCAAGAAATCTCATAAAATGAGTAACAACTGCATCAACAACACGATATGGCAGAGCATATTTCTTCTCCAAAAGAAGCTTTATAAAATAACTGCAACAATTTACCATCATACATTAAACAGTATGTAAGATAAGGCACTAGAAGAAAACAATGAATTGCTACTCTCTAGATTACTAATCTTTATCTTATAAAATGCAAGATAAAAACATACACAACAAGAGATCCAGATCAAGGAAAAAAAAAAAAAACTTAAAACATGTCAAACTTTCCTTTTAGCACCACCCTCCCTTTTGCTTCTAAGAGAGAGAGAGAGAGAGAGAGAGGCACAACAAAGAAGGAATATTAAAACATTAGAATACCTTGTTGTGCCACAATAATCCACTTCTGCAAGCTTCATTAATGCAACACTGCAATTCTATTTACAAATTAGAAGTCCTCATAATCATCTAAACTTAAACAATCGGAATGAAAATCCAGCAGCCTTAGACAGAAATGAAATAAATCACCATATTTAGATCATTAATTTCATTAAAAAATATTAAATAAGCAATCAACTTGCTTTTAAAGATTGACAAACCCAGCCACCCCACCTTTCATTAGGTTTCTTTTCAAGAAAAGAACCAATAACTACAATGATAAGAACTAATTTTAAATGATTCTTGCTGCAAAGAATAGCATTTCATTCCCACCAAAGAGCTGCAGGTTATCCACAATTTTTTGCCAAGGCCAGCAGCAAGATCCTCACCAGTCACTAGCAAACTCCCACTCTGCTCCTCATATTGTGATTCTTATTTAGGCATAAGTAAAATTTACTCATAGCAATAACCGGCAACTTAAAATAAAAACTATGATAATAAGTTTGGTAATAGGCTTTGGTAACCTATTACATACAACAAGCTCTTCTTCAAGTAGTTCAAAATGGATAACATATCTTCATTTGCACCTTGGCTCATTATACCTCCAATTCTAACATTAAAATAGAACCCCACTAAAGATCATATAACTAAACCCACCCCTTAAATACCTTGAGTGAAGCATAGTAATGGAGACTTTTTGAAGAACACTCCCAATAATAACTGCCTCCATGAGATTGCACATCTCTGACTGAAAAATTGGTGGAGGAAAAGAAGACTTTTAAGTTAAAATAACTAAAAAGCAGCCTGTCATACATCCTAAGAGTCAATACTACAAAGACCGCCTTACATAAACTATAAGTGGAGCATTTATCATAACATTGAAAAGTAAACTTAAATGAGGCTGAAGTATCAATCCGAAATAGCAAAACTTAATGTTAAAAGCTAAGAACAGTAGCAGCAAAACAGAATGCACAATGAAACCTTCAATCAGTTAATGACATAGATTATTAGATTTAGTTGAGTAGAAAAGTACACTAAATGCCAAAGATCCGTTATGCCAGGCAGAAAGTTGTATACCTTACACAATGGAAACAATATTCCGTTGTTGAATGCAGAAGGTTTGTGTAGAGCCTTCTTCAAAGACTGATATAGAGCAAAATGAAGTCGCTTATTCTTCTAAATGTCATCTCGAACACATGGAAGCAAGACTAGCCTATAAAAACACTCTCCTTCTTAGCACCCAAATTGGAAGTAAATATTCTAGTCTATTGAAACATCGCATTTGGAGTCCAATTCTCAGGTTCAGTCAAGTACAAAATATCCTCCCAGAGTTGCATCGAAGGAATATTTTTAAGAGCTAAGGGCATTTTCCCTGCTATGTATTTGTTCAGAAACTTGCCAACTCTGCACTCACATACACATATAAGGCTTCAGCACATTTTCTTATACATGCAATAGAATTCTTACATAAAAAAAGGACAGGAATATTACCCTTCATACAAATCTATGAGAGAGTCATCCAACTTAGGAAAAGGTCATGTTTCTGTAATTAAACAAATTGCACAATCAAACACCATACTCGTAAGGTAAAATTCTCCATAATATCAATAAACTAAATTAACCAGAAAATAATTAAATGCAAATGCCTAGTTTCTGCAATTAAACAAATTGAACAATCAAACACCATTACTTGTAAGGTCAAATTATCCATAATTTCAATAAATTAAATTAAGCAGAAAGTAATTAATATAAAATGTTACCTGAAGCAACATTTGCATCATTCTCCTTGATCTTTTGAATCATAATGTCTGCAAGCAACCTTTGTACCAGTTTCCTTTGATAAGAATGCTTCCAGCAATTTCTCATCCTCCTCATCAATCTCCTCCTATTCATAAATTAACGTAGGTGCTTCAACTCGCAATAATTTGCAAATTACAAAGCAAAAAAAAATGATTTTCCCATAAACTAATTCTCCATTTGCTTGCCACTCTTGCCATTTGCTTTCAACTATTTGCAAATTTACTTGAAAATTGTTAAAAAGCAAAATATAGTTGATTAAAAATGAGTAAATAGTTAAATCACAAATCTTTTCTGCATAAAAATTTAATTTTTAATTATTGAAAAACATTACATTATCGTCATACTTCTAGAATCAAAAGACAATACTAACAAAATTATATATATATATATATAAAGTGTACTTACTTCATATAGGCCACAGTGACATTGGGTCTCAGAAAATCTACCAAAATCATCAATATCGTCTTCTTCTTCATGCTTATTCCGCTCTTCTTCAACCGAACCAATCGCGTTCTTAACGTCCCCTCCTAAGGCTTCCTCTTCTGTTTCCTTCTGTTGAAGAAGCGCTTCTTTCAAGATTTTCGAACTCATCCCCGACGAAATCATCTGCACCAGGAAAAAAAACGTATAATTAAAGAGAGCAGAAACAATAGAAACTAAAGAAGAAATTACAAAAAAGAAGGAAGCTCACTTTTACTTTGTCTTTCCTTTGGAGCCTTTTTTTGTGGAGGCGATGGGATCGTCATCCGCTAAAAAAGGTTGCTGGTTTGGTTTCGTTCTCTTTTGCTCTTCGCCATTAAAGGGATTCGAGAAAACAAACAAAATTTTAATGTTTGGAAGAGATTGGGAAGACTGAGGCCGCTGCGGCAGCGGGCGGTTTTTGATGAAGAGGGACGAGATTTTTAGTACAGACTGCCAGCGTTTTAAGTGGTGGCAATTTCGTAATAGCTATAAAAGATTCTGTTCCGTACGAAACTGCACTGTTTGACTTTGTGTTTCTTCCAATCGTCTTGGCTCCAGAGTTACAAGAAAAAACGACATATGAACCTTCAAAGCCCAGAAGAAACAGAGTTCCAAATATTTTATACCAATTTTTTTTTCTATTATTTTTTTATTATATTGTTTTCTCTGTAAATTTATGTCTTTTCCAGGGAATAAAGACATTAGGAAGAATTTCTTCATCTCTTGACGAATTTCATCAAAATCTTCACCTTTGGTTACCCAAAGTCCAAATTTTTCAATGTTCATGCTCGTTAGAAACACGCAATCTCAAGAATAACAAATTACCATTTGAAAAAAGAAAAACCTTTTCTCTAGTTTTAATCGAAAGAAGGAGGAAATTCTTTTTAAACCCAATAACCTATTAACAATCCACTATCTAATTGATCCTGATTTGACTGTTTCCGAGCAAAGCAACTAAAAGAAGAGCAAATTCTTTTCCTTTTTTTTGAAAAAATGGAAGACTCTTCCAGACCCGTAACTGGTTACCCAGTTCAGAACCTTAATGGCTACACTCCACCACCACCCGCCACCTCGGGCATAGCCCACCCTTACGTTAACACCAACCCATACCCTTACTACCCAGCGCCCCCGCCTCAAAACCCACGCCTTACTTTCTTTCGCCGCCTCTTTGTGGCCTTCTCCATCCTGTTAATCATCTTCGGCATCGTCCTCCTCATCTTATGGCTCGTCCTCCGTCCTAAACTCCCCGTTTTCTCTATACAATTCCTATCTCTCTCCAACTTCAACGCCTCAAACCAGCGCGTTAGCGCTGCGTGGAACGCCCAGTTTCAGGTCTCAAATCCCAACAAGAAACTTTCCATCTCCTATGGAGACGTTGTTTCGTTGGTTTTCCACGAGGATTATTTCTTGACTGAGACAAGGATCGGGCCGTTCGTACAGGGCAGGCGCAACGTGAGCACGGTGGAGGCGAGTTATTCGGTGGTCGATTCTTTCGCGGACGGAAAGGTGGTGGACGCGATGAACGGGGAGATGACTCGTGGCGAGATCAAGTTCAACGTCAAGGTGAAGGCGCTAGTGGCGTTTCGATATGGTAGGTGGAGAGGAAGGCGGAGGATTCTTAGGGCTTGGTGTAATGACGTCGCTCTTACTGGTCCGTCGGGGAAGATGACCGGCGGGCCCAAAAAATGCAGCGTTGGTTAATTAACCGTGAGTTTTAACTTTAATTTCCGTTTTTCTTTTTCTTCTTAGGACATGTTAAATTATATATATTTAATTATGTGCTAACTTCGAAATTTTCTAGGAATATTGAAGTAATAGGTTGTTGGCTGTTTGGTTTTATGGTTCCGGGTTAATTCTTTTATTGATTTCGAATTCCATGTTGATTCTACTTTCAGTTCTGAGTTGACTCATGAAATTTTCTTTGCAATGTGGTTTTTGTAAGGTTAATTCATTCATAACTGCATTGAATGGTTGCGGAAGCGATAAAATATTATTGGTTTAGGTTTTTTTTGGTTTTTTTTTTTACTTGAGTTTCAGCCATGTGTATTCTTCGAGGAATGCGACCAAATTGGTTGCTAGTGGTCTAATATTGTTAAAAATTAGAGCTAATAATTAAAATATTAAAAATATATATTTATATTATATTTTATATAGAAATTATGTATAATAATTTATATTAATATAAAATTTTAAAATATATATTTTTATTTTATTAAAATTTTAAATTATATTATTTTTATATTTATTATTGATATTATCATATCATATTTAAAATTATCACATTCACCTCTATATAAAATAAGAAAATAGCGGCCGGCACTTAGCTGCTGGTTCCAACTTCCAAGCATGAAAAGTAAATATTTACTTGCTTTGGTTGATGGCTGGAGTTGGTATAGGGGACCTTATTAGTGGTGGCCTTGACCTGATTATACCATTAGGCATTCCCTATGGATAAACAGTCATTTACTGAGAGACTACACTGTGCAACTTTTTTTATTTGAGAAATTTTAGGATTAAAGGGGAGTTTTATTCTTCTTTAGGGGGTTAATGTGCAGTAGAAAGGATTTGAATTTGGGTCCTCATTATTATGGTAAACAGCCGTGCAATTAGCTGTCACTGACTCGTGCTGGTCTGGCTAGGACAATGCAGTGCTGATATTTTTTGTCCCTTTTTTTGCCTGTCCCCGTCTTGATTTCCCTATTTGTTAAGTAGTAATTTCATTTTCTGACTGTCTTTGAACATTCCTCCATCTGAGGATGCCAATTTTATCATCTTGACAGCTTCAGTTCCTTGTATCATCAAATCTTTTCTAGACCCTTAAATCTTCCCCATAATTAACGCTAGAAACAGTTTATGCATCTAAGCGTCTTTTTGCAATTTTAGCTGTTCTCTTTTGCCTGGTTTTCACTGCTTGATAGTTCATGTCTTCTTCTAGGTTTGGATTGTGTTGTTTCCTAGTTTATTTTTTAGCTTTTCCTTTTACCTCTTATTTTACTAGGCATGACTGCATTCCTTTTCTTCTCTTCTGAATAGTTGATAATTTTGTTTCCCTTGGATCAAGTCCACTATTTGGTCACATCTGCATTAGTCTGCATCTTCACATGCAACTTCGCATTTTTTTAGTGTTAATACTCGCTTGCTTTTAGTTAGATTTGACAATTTATATATACACAATTTTAAAATTTTAATCTTTTCATATTGTATCACTGTAGATTTACTTTTAGCTCACTCTTGCATCTATTTCCGTCATGGGGACTAGGCATGTAAATAAAAATTCACTGGTTGTTTGGGCCCTTGAACTTCAGAGGTGATGACCAATGTGCCATCATCTTTTATCTTAACCGTCTTTTTCCTGTGACATATGCCATTCCTTTGTCGTATCGTATCCTTCATCCGCCCAATATTTTTCAGCTTTTGATCTTGGTTTTGCAGGAGAGGACGGCTAAGAGAAGGCTCACAAATTGTAAACCCTTTTCTTGCTTTCCCTTCTTCATGTTTAAAAGGGGAAGAGAAGGAACAATTAGCTATAAATGAACGAATTGTTTGAGTGATTTTGACTGATCCCCTTAACTCCGTACTCAGCTTTCTTCCATGTGTTAATGTGAATGTAAATTTTTTTATGGGGCTTTTCTGGGTGTTTTATATGTCTTATTTTTTAGCCAACAGTGTTGTATATGTCTGGAGTGGATTAATTGCAATTCTTTGTTTTTAATATTAATCTTGTCCTAAAAAATCCAGGGTATTAATTTATAGGATTTTTTCTTTTAATTCCTATTAATCAATTTGAAAAAAAAAGCCAAAAATCGTAAAAATAAAATAAAATACAGATACCATATTCAAAAGTCAAGCCCATTAAGTGACTTTAGATGGATGAACACGGGCTATTCTTTATTATATTAACTACTGGGCTTCTGAAACCGTCCATTTTTAAGTCCAACATTTTTGCATAATTATACTTTTGAGTTTAATTTAATAATTTGTGTATTTATGTCATATTTATTTTGTATTAAATATATGTAAATGTGAAAATTATATTGTCAAAAGTTGTATCGGCACATCAAATACGAGTATTTTTTTAATTTTTATCAAATCATAATTATTCATTTTTTTATTTTAAATATATCATTTTAATATTTTTTTTAATCTTTTCATTGTATCTTATTTAAAATTATCATGTTTATCTTGAGCTTCTTTTTATTTTTCCTTTCTATTTGTCCAATTATCAAGTTGTTATTCAATTATTTTTTATCCAACTTTTTGCACAAAATAACACTTTTCTTGATATGCATATTGAAATTACAATTTGGTAATAAGATTGCGTTTATAATAGGCTACATTCAAATTAAGAAGATAAGGTTTAAGTGGATGAATGACTCAAAACCATTAAAGCTAGGAAGTACAAGTCATTAAGGGCAGTAAAACCATATAATCAACTCAAAATTTTGAGCCTACTTTTCAGATCATCCATGTTGTTTATAACATTTTATCAACATGACTTTGATACGCTTTTTTTGATAATTTTTTGACCTAATAGCTTAATCTTCTAATTGAAGTCTTTGTCAAGGATAATTTAGTGGCATACATGGTATCAATCTTGTTTCAAGAAGCTATGAATCTATCACCAATGTATCTACAATTCCGCCTTTAGAATCTATCTCCAAAACAAAAATATAAGAGAAAAAGTTACAAGTATTAAATTTTAAATTTTAGATTTGTTAAATGTCACTTTTTAAAAGATACTACACGAACTAATAAAATTAAATTTCAAGTTTTTATTTATCTACCTTTATTCTCCCAATGCTTTTGTATCGTGTCCCTTACTCCTAAATTGACATTGTTTGCTCAAATTTCATGTATCGATTCCATCTAAATTGAGTACTATATGTATGTTTGAAACAAAACCTCGATTGGAACTTGCGAATTCAACGATAAAGCTATCCGAGTCAGTTCTCATATAACTATTGATGAGAGGGGAATAAAGCAAAGAAAAAAAAAAAGAGAAGCATTACATACAATATACGTCCGAGACGTTAAAAACCACGTATTGTGAAGGTATATTTTTGTCTTGTATGGCTTGAGAAAAGCATTGTATATTCTCTCTACTTGTCACTAGACCTACAAAGTTTGATTAATACAAAAGAAAGCAAAGCTATGCATGGAAATATCGTGTTAACATTGTTGCATTGTTATAAATTAAGATAAATTAGAAGCATATTTTCATGAATTAATTTGTGAATGATATGTCTTTTGAAAATTTAAAAGAAATTCATGAGCATTAATCCCTATATATTATCATATTTTGATAATACGATCTGATATCTCGATTGATTTTGTGCATTCATAATTTTAGTTTTAGAAAGTTTAACATAAATATAAAATCTTCATTAATAAGAAAATTTCTTTTTATTAATTGAATTACTCCTTATGAATAATTAATGCACATATATATATATATATATATATATAGAACTCTTCAAACACAATTTGATTAGATAATAAAAAGTGAGAAATTAACGAAGGCTATTGGCCAACATGTTTCCCTTTTAACTCAAGCTTGCAAAAAAAAAAGATTCATCGCCTTTTTCTTTAGACTAGCATGCATATTCTAACAATTTACCTTTTGGCTTTTGTCCCATATATTAATATTCATATAATTAGAAAGAGACATAATGATATTTGGAAGTAGTTGATCGCATGATCTCAAAAAACAAATCAAAAGTCCACTGAAAATGATAGACCATGTCCATGACCATGCATGCAAGCTATCTATGGTCGTTTTAAAATTAATATAATTTTAATTTTAGAAATTAAAATATAGTTTTAGAAAGTTTAACATAAATATAAAATCTTGATTAATAAGAAAAAATTTTTTTATTACTTGAATTACTCCTTATGAATAATTAATACGTGTGTGTATATATATATATATATATATGTATATATATATATATATATATATATATATATATATATATAACTCTCCAAACACAATTTGATTAGATAATAAAAAGTGAGAAATTAACGAAGGCTATTCGCCAACATGTTTCCCTTTTAAGTCAAGCTTGCACAAAAAAAAAAAAAAAAGACTCATCGCCTTTTTCTTTAGACTACCATGCATATTCTAACAATTTACCTTTTGGCTTTTGTCCCATATATTAATATTCATATAACTAGAAAGAGACATAATGATATTTGGAAGTAGTTGATCCCATGATCTTAAAGCAAAAAACAAATCAAAAGTCCACTGAAAATGATAGACCATGTCCATGACCATGCATGCAAGCTATCTATGGTCGTTTGAGCCCTTTTGTTTTAAAAGGCACATCGCCGTCTTCAAATATACATCAACTACTATCATCCAAAAATTTCATAAACTTGAAGGTTATTGTTAAATTATAATCACTTTAGGCAAAGTATGGAAAAAAACAAGGTGTAGTTCCAATATTTGTGCCTATCAATGTTTGGGCAATTCCATAAAACAAAGTCAGAAATCAAAGGAAAACCAGAAACAAATTTTTTTTTTTGCGAGTTTCGGTTAAGTCCTCCTACGAGTGGTTTTGGGGCTTCCAAATCGGCAACAAGGCAGCCAAGAAAAAGGAGAATGACATGCCTGAGGGCGAAGGCCATCGGAACGGTGGAGAAGAGGGAGAAAACTACGATTTTGATTTCAAATCTACGCCAATTCCGTGGGTTTCCGGAATACGTGAAAGAGAAGGCCAAGACGAGTTCGGCGACAAGTTTCAGAGCAAACCGGTGGTCAGACGACCACTGGCGAAGGTCAGCGGCGGAAGGCAGCAGGATTGCGTCGGAATCTGGGAAGCTTAAAGCTTTTGGTTACTTCCCTCTGGAACCTAGAAACAGAGGCAGGGCAACTGTTTCTTAGAGAGAGAATAAAAATGGAAAATGAATGAAAAAGTTGAAAAAAACAGAATTTTTCTTGCAATTAATACTATGTCGTTTAGGGGCAAAAGAGAAATAGGATCTGTGAAGGGTCCGCGGGTTGACCTTCAGTCGACCCGACCTGGTCGCACTCTGCCCAGCAACTGCATCCTGTGAGCCGCAAACCAAGTCGTTTTTTGCAGTAAGCCGAGTTAGCTGAGCCTCCTAAGCCGCACCTCAGTCTAGAGTCGACTGATCCAAGCTGATCCCCTGAGGCTAAGTCGCGACTGTTTTTGGTATTTCTTTCTTCTTTTTGTTATTTTACTTATTATCTATTACTTTTTTTAGTTATTTTAAAAAAAATAAATAAATAAAAATATTTCCAAAAAAAAGAAATTTCGGAATACCAATTTTTCCTTAAATAAATTTTTTTTCAAAAAACAAGGAAAAAGTTGAAGGATCAATTTTTCTTAAATAAAAAAATATTTCAAAAAAAAGGTTTAATGAAAAGTTGAAGTATCATTTTTTCTTAAATAAAAAATATTTTAAAAAATGTTTGAGAAAATAGTATTAATTTTTCTTTAAATAACGTATTTTTTTATAAAAGAAAATGAAAAAAAAATATTTTTTAGAAAAAAGTTGAAGCATCAATTTTTTTTTAATTAAAAATTTTCAAATAAATATTAAATAATTTTACGATGAAGTTTTCTGCAAGATAAACAGTAATTTTTTTATATACTCTTTAGGTAAGTGAATTCTTTTAATTTTTTATCAAAAGTACTAGAGTTAATAATAATAATTTTCAATAATTAACTATCAAGTAAGATTTTTCAAGGTTTAATGGATAATACGAAATCAAACTAGTATCATCATTTGATTATACTATTTGACTTAGTTTTAGTTTCGAAGAGATTGAATCTATCTTTTAAAAATACTTGAGTTAAATTTAGAATTTCTTTTTAAAATTTGTGATATTCATTATATGACTAATTACACCTAAATAAAAAAAATTATTAATGACTCTTTAAATTAATGTCTAGTGATAAGTCTCTAATCTATACGTTATGACGTGTAATTTAAAATTACAAATGTCATTTATATATAAATTATAATGAAAGAATTTAAATAAGCATTATGCAAGTTTTGAATTATAAAAATAAAATTACATAATGAAAAAGTCAATCACTTGTTTACAATTACGTATATTATTTTAGTATGAAAATTAAGATTTACACATACGATATATCATGAAAGATTTTTTTATGTTTGATTTTGAAACTTTATCGTGCCAATTTTTTGTGAAGAAATTCTAATTGTTTTGTCTTTTATAAAGAAAAAAATATTGATTATGAGAAGAAATCATAAATATATATTTGATAATTATTTAATTTTAAAAAAATTTAAAATTTAAAAAATATAGTTTATCCAAGTTTAATTTTAAATTAAAATAAAAGGGGTTAATGTAGTTTTAAGTTCATATTTGTGTGTAACTTAAATTGAGATAAAATGTCTTTTCTTTATATTTTAAATCATAGAAAAATAAAAGCAAAAAATTTGATAAATAACAATAGTTTAATCAAAAATTTTATTTATTTAAATTTATATGAATATTGATTTATACGGTATATGATTTTTTATGGTTATTTAGATTTAGGGATTTAGTTTTTATAAACTATTTAAATTTTGTATTTCATATACATGAGTAAGAGTGAGGTATGAGATATATTTTTTCAAGTTTAAATTATAATAAAACTTATATAATTTCAAAAATTTTGATAAATGTAAAATTTGAAACTTTAAAATTTTTAAAAATTGAATAATTGATTGAATGAAATTATTTAGAACTATCCTATGTGTCAATAACATAGGATATCCAACTAAAGGTCTGGGTAGAGAAAATTTATAAAATTTTTATGTATGTTGTAATATAATATTATGTAAATTGGTGCATTAAATGTAAGAATCTTTATTAAAATAATACTCCGAAAATGCAAATAATTAATAATATATACCTTTGATAATTTATTAAATTAATTATTTTAACCTCAATTAATAAATTTTTATTAAAATTAAAATGATGATTAATTAATTATTTATTTCCTTATTAACATTGAAGTCCTTATTAAAGTAAAATTTCCTTAATTTATAATTTTTATTTTCTCATTAAATTATATATAAAACTATATTTTTATTATTCAAATTTCTCATTAATCTCTAACCTTAGTCAGTACCTTAAACACCCGTCAACCGGATCCATCATTTTATTGATATAAGCCTTAAAGTGAAAACAATATTATTTGTAACAAACAGGGAAAATAAAATTGAGTAATGGTATTTAATTAATGACCATTTACCAATATATAATTATAATGCCCCCACGTTGTTAATTTATTGCATTGGATCCCTACATTGATCTCGATCAGTTGACTATTGTCCTTATTCTTGATGCAATCTCTCTTTTTTTTTTTCTGTTGTTTTTTACGTCTCTTAAATTTTAATCAGTCATGAAAATGATGTTTAAATTCATTAAACCATATGATAATGATCCTAAAAGCCCCTTTTGTCTTTTACTTTTTTTTTTTAAATTTATATACATAGGAAATCAAAGCTTTATGACCATGAAAGATTGACAAATATTTGATGTATCCATGGCCGATCTGCAGCCATAAAATTCATGTTTTTATGCTGATTGATCTAACTTAAATGGTTAAAAAAACCTCATCTAACGTGTTAGGTAATTGTACATTCATAAATAATAGCTACTCCATCCAACTCTATTACAAGCCAAGCTGTCCCTGGTACTTCAAGACAAACAATTTATTTAAATCAGATTAGACTTTTCCTGCAATTTAACTTCGAACTTGATGTCCACGTTTTAATTACTTGTTATGTCATGTCATTACGGTTAGTTGTTAGAAGTATAAATGACACATTAATATTTATAAATTAAATATACATTATTACAAGTCAAGCCGTCCCTGGTACTTCAAGACAAATAATTTATTTAAATCAGATTAGATTTTTTCCTGTAATTTAACTTCTAACTTAATGTCTATGTTTTAATTACTTGTTATGTCATTATAGTTAGTGATTAGAAGTAAAAATGATACATTAATATTTATAAATTATTTAAATTTGATTCGAATAAAATTTAAATTTGATTTTATTATTATAAAGTCGAATTTGAATTTGAGTAGTTCGATTTATCGATCGAATCGAGTTCGAGTATTCTTATATCCGTTTTGAGTAACTAGTGAATCTAATTAAATTTTTATATTAAATATATTTTTATTATTTTAATTAATAAAATATCTCGAATTTGAGTTCGAGTTTGAGCACAAATAATCGAACTCCTATCAAGTATACGAATCAAACTTATTTTTATATATTAATCGAGCTTAATCGAACGAACTCGAATAATTTGATTTTGATCAAAAATCAAATTCGAATTAAAAAAATAAAATTCAATCAAATTTAAATTAAGTATCAAATCATAAATTAAAAATCGAATTTAAACTCAAATTTTTTATTATATCAATTTAATTCAATTTGATTACACCTCTAATAATTATGGACAGTTAAAAGAATCAGGTCAGATAACAACAAAAAAAAAAAGTGTATGCGAAAGGCCGCTCTTTAATTTTGCCCTTCTCTCGAAGAAATTAAAAAACTTGATTTTTTTATATTAAAATTTAGAATGAGAGGGAATTATCTCATTTCAAAATCGTTCATAAAAAATTAAATTTAAATCTTATAAGCATAAATTATTTAATTTTTATCAATTCAATTAATTTTATTAATCTCGATTCAATATTTTTAATCTTTTTATATTTCATCTAGAATAATCCAAAATACTTTATAGGGATAAAAAATCAATTTTTTACAAAATAAAATGATTTTAGTAATTATATTATGAATCAAATCTTGAATTTTGTCACTATATTTTAATTTCATTTAATTTTATAGATAAACTTTCGATTTCATTAATTAAATATAGTGGTAAAAATGTAATATTGTTGTGCCAAAAAAATTAATATTGATCCTTCAGGCTGTAACGTTTATCCCCATTCTTACAGCATTTTTTTCTTTCTTTTTTATCACCTTTTAATTTTTTTTATTGGGTAAGTTTTCAACACGGTTGCATTCAACAAGATTACTACTGTAAACACAACCATCCACCATTTCATATTTTTGCCTTGCAAGAGTTGAATTTTTGGTGGGACCTAATGCGCAATTGCTCCTAATGTAGCAGCAGGAATGCAACCCAGGGTTGCACCAAACAAACACTCATATCTCTCGTTTTGCATCACCCACCATATGCCAATTCACAATTAATTCTATTCTCCCTTTTCTAAAGTCCAATTTCCAATCATATGCATAGAACAAATAGATTTTTGTACGTTAAATTAGTAACCTATAAAACCCATATCCCAAAATTAATCCATTTTCTCTAACTTTAATTTAATTACATAATGATATTTCATAAAAAAATAATTTTAAATATATTTTTAGGAATAAATGTATATAATTTTAAGATGTTAAAATTTTTAAAATTAATTTTTTTATAAAGTATACTTGTATAATTCAATGACATTATATAATATTACATTTAGATGATGCATCAAAATATAAACTTTATATATAAGAGAAATTAACTTACATAATGTAGAATATGTTGAAAATAATAATTAAAAATATGTAAAATTTTTTTAATTTGATATTATATAAATTGATTCCTTCTGTCTATATATACAGATATAATCTCAGTTTTTTTTTCAATTGCTAAGTCTCTCACTTCAAAAGCTTAATTTCTGATCTCTTCTTATTTTCTCAGCTTGAAATCTTATCATCTTCACCACCTAAACCAACTCTACCAAAACCGGCTGCACCACCAGCTGAAGTCATGACTTGCAAGCACTGTGATCAGGACGATAAGCAAGAGTTTGTCAAGCGCTTATTGATAGCCATTTTTGGGTTATTGATCGTCATTGCCATAGTGATTTTCCTTGTATGGGCAATTCTCCACCCCGCCAAACCCTGCTTCACCCTCCAGGATGTGACTATCTACGCTTTCAACCTCACAGCTCCAAACTTACTCATGTCAGACATGCAAATCACTTTATCTTCCAGGAACCCCAACGACAGGGTCGGCATTTACTACCAAAGACTCGATATCTTCGCTTCTTATCGAGACCAGCAGATAACTTTACAGACACTGCTGCCAAGAACCTACCAGGGCCACCAGGACGTCACCATTTGGTCCCCAATTTTGTACGGTAATGCTGTGCCTATGGCTCCAATTCTTGAGGAAGGGCTGAGCCAGGACATGAATGCTGGGTTATTGCTGCTTAACATCAAGGTTTTCGGGCAATTGAAGTGGAAGGTTGGCACTTGGATTTCGGGTCTGTATCAAATTAACGCAAATTGTCCAGTTTATATTTCCTTTAGTGATCACATTGAGGACATTCAAGTTGGTCCAGCTATGAAGTATCAGCTTCTGCAAACTTGCAGTGTGGATGTTTCTCCTAACTAGTTATATGTTTCTCTTAACTAGTTATTTTTTTTTCCCTGTCTTCATCAGGAAAAACAATCTTGTTTCCCTTTATTGTTGGTTCTATGACTTTTTAACAAATAATTATGTATTTTGTGTGACTACTTTTACATTCATATCGATATTCAGTCTTTTTGGTTCTTTTGTTGATTAAGCTAAGATGACCAAGAAATTTGTTGAAAATCTAAGGGTTCGAGAATCAATACATATGGACACTCCCCTTGAAAGGGTAGTTGACCATGGTCCATGGAGTCGAGATTTGTGGTTTCGCTTTAACATATTTCTTTAATTTTTAGCTGCAAGTTGGGCTTTTTTTTTTTTTTTGAAAAGAGAACTTGCCCATTATTGAGCTTCGTTGAATTTTAGTTTTGATTGTAACTTTAATTTGTAAAGGAGTAAAATTTTGGTGGATTAAATTTAACTATAATAGAAAGAAAGGGAAAGAATGCCACTAAACGGTTCCTACTCCAGCGAGCTAAAAAATTTAATGCTATCAATTGTTATCAAATTCTGTAGTTGTTTGAACCAAAATTTAGTTAAAATGATTCATACAGTTCTTAAAAATATATATTTAATGGGTCCGTGATTTAAGTTTTAATATTTATAATTGTTTTTTCTATTTCCAAATGGCAAATTTTTTGTATAAAAGAAAATTCTAGAGTTGTTTGACAGTAGTCCTATGTCATTGGAAACAGCATAAGCTTCAGCAACTTTCTTCGATCCAGTGAATCATTTTCGATTTTTTTTTCTTATTTGGAGGTGGTGAAACCTTGATTTCGACAAAAGAATACGTTCATTTTTTGGATAGTAATTTAAGTATTAGTTTATTGTCTAGCGGCACATTTTTTGGATCCTGTTCCATGGCAGCAGACATTGAGTAACTCAAATCACGTTCTCTAAGGTTAAATTAAACAGTAAAAATCGGGTAAATCAAGTTTTTAATGCTCTTTGGGGTCAAGTAGGTCAGAAAGTTTGCTCATTCCTGGAGTACCCCATGGCCAAAGACCAATTCCGGGCTCCTTCCGGCAACGTGTTTTCAACTGTAAACTTTTGTCAATATATACAAGTTGGTGCAACTAATAAAGATCATGGGCCATACCAATGAAATCATAGGAAGTTTTTCAACGGTAAGATTTAAGCCTTGACAAATGCTAAAAAATGGTAAAGGATTTTGAGTAGGGAGAATTAAATATAGTTTCGTTTTCAACACTTTATAAAAGCTAGGTTTTGCTGATTCTAAAAGAAGTTGATCTAGTTTCTTCCACGGTTATATCAACTTCATTCATCTTCATTCATCCTCTTACCCACACTCAGTTGAAATGTATCATCTTCATTCATCAGTTGAAACGTATCATCTTCATGGTTGTGATGTTTGAGAATCTGTTGATCACGTCACCTGCTTACGCATCCTTGGAGTAATACTTATGGAGGTTTGGTATAGTTGGAACAAGTCTTTAATACAACTAGCTTGGTTCTTCTCGCAACTAACTTCATGTAAATCATAGTTGTTATACCAAGACACTCATCTAAAATTTATTTTTAAAATTGAGTGTGTATATATAAACCAGAATGTATCAAAATCCACTTAGATGCTATTTACGCACTAATGTACAAGAGAACAGTTTGATGAAATATTTAGGTATTTTGTTCATTCGTTACGTTGGAGAATCCATGGTTGTGATGCTTGCAAAAAGCTGTGTGATGAAAAGTATGCAGAGAGAGCTCTATCCACACATCTGCTACAATGAACACTCACTCACTCAAAATCAGTTGAAACGTATCATCTTCATTCATCCTCTTACCCACACTCTCCTCCCCACCCTTCCCTCTATTTTATTTTGCTGTTCGAAGTTTATTTTCATGTGATCAGAAGTTGTAAAGAAAGAGAATCTCCTCTTCTCCATCTCCATGATTTCACATTTCAATCCCAACATGTAATTGACAAAACAAAATGTATAAAAGAAGGGAAAGAGAATGATTGTTGATGGTGAAAAAATAAATGCATGACTTAGCTGATTCAATAGAAAAGTAGGAAACTACTATAAATGACAACTACAAGACAATAAAACTTGTTTATAGATTCATAAATATACAACAACCAAAAAAAAGAAAAGAAAAAGTCTTTTAAGATTACAGTCTCCCCCCATTGTAAATCCCTCTTGGGAGAGAGGTAACCAATCATTGCTGTTTTGCCCTCTTGCGTGCCAGAAAACGTTCTCTAGCTGCCGCAACTGCATCTTCACCTCTTTTATGGTGGTGACTCTTTAGTTGATCAACTGATGGTTGTTTCGCTGAAGAGGTCTCTTGCGCTGCAGTGTCTGGAAGTATATCATCAGTGATCAACCTCGAATCTTGGGACTCATAGTTTTCTTGAGAACTTGTTTCATCCCGAGTCCGATCAGTCACACCAGAAGAATCAGGCACATTTGAGTCTGGCAACGGCTGAACTCTGTTGAATACATCTATCTCTTTCTCATCTTTCATCTCAGGTTTCCTCAATTCAGTATGCATTTCTGGCTTCCTTGGCCCAGCCTCATTTGCCCCAAAAGCAACATTTTTACCAAGGTTGAAGTAAAAATCACTCAAATCACTCTTCTTGGTAACCTTTAAAACAATAAAATGACCATCCATCAGGTAAGATCAGGTAAGGTAAAGCATGGATCAGGTACATATCGCAATTCTCACACTATACATATTGATACATTTTGGTTTATATGTAACATGCTACATGAACTAAGTATGAGAGAAAACAAACTCCCAAGGAAGATATTAACTTAGAAAAGCCAAAATTGCACCATTACATGACCAGCTCTAGGCAACAAAATTGAACCTACATCTGTTGCCTTATTTAAGGCATAAGTAACCAAACCAGAAATTCTCATAATAGCAGGGCACTTGTGTAGGATGCTTATTAGAGTAACATGAGGTTGCAAAAAGTTTATCACTTCAGCATTTATTTATCTTATCGATGGGTGTCAAGCAATTGATAATCCACCATAGCCTTTATTTATCTTATCAATGGGTGTCAAGCAATTGATAATCCACCATAGCCTTTTATAGATCATCATTGAAAACTAATATGACAATAAGATGCCAAAAAACCTGTCTTGAAGCTTCAATTAGCCGACGGGGGCAACATGGCAACAGACCAAAATTGGTTTTTCCCTTTTGTAGTGGGTTAATAAAGAACAATCACATTGCTCAAATAAGTGCAAGCAAAGATAAGAAAATGCAATGGGAATGATTCACATGTCACATATTCGGAGCAAGAAAAAGACTACTTCCAAGAAATATGCCCATTTCAAGCATACAGAAAACACCTAAAGCAATTTTTTAATGTAGTATACATGAATCAACAGATCTGGAGCTACAACAACAATGATAAACACAATCAAAATTGGTAACAATTCAGACAATCATGAGTGAAGCAATATACAATAAGAACCAAATAAGTAAACAAAGAATTGAAAAGTAACATCACATGAAGTTGAAGAAAAGGTTACACTTACATCATCTTTCTCCTCTCGAAGTTGACGTAAGCGCTCCTCCTCCATCCATTTTGCCTGCTCAGCAAGTTTTTTCTTGTAGGCACTGGTCACAAACTTATCCTTGTCTGCATAAAGGTGATCCTCTTTACTTCTCTCCTTCGCAAGCTTTCTCTCATAGACTATCTCTTGCTCCCACTGTCGTTGCTCTGCTTTTTTAATTAAATTATGAATATATTTCGGCTGCACCAAAAAACCAGCTTTCTCATCAGTTCCATTAATGATTAATCCTCCTTTATATTTTGAGCAGTTATTTGTATAAATTTGTCTGCTGAATTATATATACAGATTGATGAGAGGAAAAAAAAATCAAATGATAAAGGGAATAATTAAGTTTATAGCAATCAAGCAATCCTAGAAACCAAAAAAATCCTCAAATTTGTTAAAAAAAATTTACCTTGCGTTCTTCGCGATCTTGAACGAGGGGACGAACAACCTTCTCTTTCATCTGATCGTAAACTCCATCATAATCAAACACTGAAGGATCTTCCTCTAACGCTTTCTTATGTTGCTCCTCTATCTTCAAGAAAAGAGATAAATTTCAGTTAAATTATGTATAAAAAAACTCAAACAAAGGGGAAAAAGGACGTCGAGGTGAATTTTACATCCTTGAGAGATTTGTTCTTGCTAGCCTGCCGAGAAATCTCTCTCTCCACGTCATCTTCGTCGTCGTCGCGGAAGCCAAGAGGAGGAGGGAGCGGCGGTCTTGTCGCCCGTTTTTTCTGCTGTGCCGGTGGAACCCTAAGCTGTAAACCATACTTCTTCATGTCTTCAGAACCAAGTTTTGATTCACTTCCTCAGGCAATTTTTGACCCAAGGGTTAGCAAATTACAAGGGCATTTAGGCCTTTTTACTTTATGGGTTGATGGCCAAGGGCAACAATGTAAAACGATGTCGTTTAAAAAGGATTTTTAAGCTCATCGATGTTGTGGCCCTGGTCTTTCCATCTATCTCTGGCTCATCTTATCTCCCCGGTAGCTGTAACCGAGATTATTGAACTCCTTCGGTATGTCCCCTCGTCAAATCCCCAAAATTCAAAATTTTTTTCCTTTACTGTAATTTATTTATTGGGTTGATTTAGAAAACTCCAAATTTCGTGGTTGTTGAGCCATTTTTTGTTCTTATCATCAGGGATTACAGAATTATTTTTAATTATGATGTTTAAATTGCCAATTTAGAGGCATTTTACTAGGAGTTGAAAGCTGAGTGATGGGCTTCGCTGAATCTGAGATGTTAGATTTGTTCTTAGCTGTTCACCCAGTTTAAACACCAGGGGGGTGTGATATGATCATGTTTTCTGATTGACGTCTTGCTTGCTATTTTCAGTTTCACTGCCTGTTGATGATGCTTTATCTGTTAGAAATTGAGAGTTTAGAATTTTGATGCAGTCCTGAGCAAGTTGTCTTCTTTGCTTTCATAGTTAGTTTGGGAAGTAAACTTTTAGTTTTGCATGTGAAGAGGCTTAAAAAGTTCAAATTTTTCATGAAGATAGCATAGCTTCCTTAATTTACAGCCATTGTTTTTGGCCTCACTTACATGCCTTTTGTTATGACAAACTTTGGGAACTTTTCAGTGACAAATTAGCAAAATGGGTGCAATATGTCATCTGAGTAAGAGCATGAGCTTTTATGTTCAACATTGCTTGGGATAGAGAGCTGCTAATGCTGTGTACTTTTAGATTAGTTCTTGGTATGCTAGTTTGGTTGTGGGTGTATTAAAGTGCGGGAAGGATCCTCAAGGAAGTTATTTGTTGCACTGCTAGTTTAGGATTAGTTGACAAAGAGATTTGTTATTACTTGTATTGTTTTAATGTAACAAAAGGCATAGTGGCAATATGGTGTTACTTTGTGTGAATGCTCTGGAAGAAGAGGTATGTCTGAATCCTGCAGTCAGTTGAATTTCATTTACAGTCCAAGAATGTCAACTGACAACTTCTTCACTCAGAATTTCAGGATCAAAAGATCTGCAAGATTTTACGCCCTATCTAGGCTAGTTAGATGACCAGTATGCTTTTGAAGAATCAAGGGATTCTTCTTTGGCCTGAGCGTTAATTTATGATTTCAAATGTATAAAATCACCAATTTGGTGCATTAGCTTTGTTCTTGTTAATTCCTTGATATCATTTGTCTTGTTTTTTACCCAAGTTTCGGTCAAGAGAACTCTTGTTAATTCTAGTCACTACAAAGCTTTAGGTACATCTTTTATAAATTTATTGCATCCCCATGGTCGGAGAGGACATGCATTTATTCATTGTTGGAAATTGATAATCAAATACAAGACAAATATGTTATATCTCTCTTTTAATAGATTACTAATTTACTGTAAGTTCTTTCTGGCTGATTCTTTTTGAAGCTGACCAGGTTATCTTATCATGGGAAACAAGCCTGCGAAGCAAGAACAACGAGAACAGATTCTCTTGAAAATTGTGCCACCATTGGACCAAGCTTATGTACGATGGCTTGCAAGGGATATACAGAGGATTCGTGGTTTTACACCAAGAAACCCTCGTGCAGTGAAACCCCCGGATGAGTACATTGAGTACATGCGCTTGAATGGTTGGTTGGATGTAGACTTGGATGATCCAGATCTGGCCCATTTGTTCAAGTAGAGAGGAATAGTTTGCCATATCATAAGCTTATAAACTAAACTTGGAATTGGAAGGTAAGTTGAAGGGATACACTAGCTATGTGAATTATATTACTGTTGTTAATTGCTTGTAACAATTTATGTTTACAAGACGGACAAGATCCTGAATAAAAGTTCTTTCATCATTGAACTCTTTGTATTGATGATTACGTATTTGTTTTTTTACTTGAAGAATTTTAACCTCCATTGCTAGAACTAAGAGTCCAACATTCTTGCATGCAAATCCGATCCCTTAAAACTGATAGATGATAGTACTTCTAATTTAAAGGGAAAAAGGAAAAAGATATTTAGATAAAATGATTTCAAAGGGCCTGTTTTGTTTCCAAAAATCAGCCCAAACCCAAAATCCAACTCCATGTGGATAACTAAACCAAACAGTGCCCCAACGAAGTGGCGCCTGATCGTGGGAAGCTGAAAAGTGACAGATAGGGTTGAGGTTGATGAGCTAATGCGCGCCAACTAATCGCCACTTTGTTGCCCGTAGCAAAAGGCGCGAATCGCCGATTCGAACCTCATTTTCTTTTCTTTTTTTTTTTTTTATTTCTATAAAATTTACCATTTCTTTTAAATTTTAGCCACCAATCCCAAACCTCACTTTTTTACCCTTTTTTTCCAGGTAATATTGCAGTTAAAAAAATTTCAAAGCCTTGAAATATCTAATTGATAAAAAATGAGAAAAGGAAAAAATTATTATTAATAAAATATGGGTCCCATTTAATTTTGGCTTTTTGTTAAAATGGCGGGAATTCCTCAAATAAAAACAATATAAAAAGATAAATTAAAAACTAAAAATATAAATTTCATTTTCCTTGTTCCCAAACACCAGATCTACCCTCAATTCCCACCAAAAAACTGTCTTTCCAGACAATTCCGTTACATTCCCTCCTTATCTTTTCTTCAAACAAACCCCCAAGAAACCCAAAATTCTTTCATTTTCTTTTGTTTTTCATTTAATTTAAAGTTATTATGTGATGTCGGGTTCTCAAGCTCCGGAGCAGTTAAAGCAATCCATGCAGCAGCAACAGCAAGATCAGCAAAATCAACAGCCACTAAAACGACAGCCACCTTTCTCTATGAAGCCGCCGTTTATGGCTCCTGGAGGCGACTATCACCGCTTTGCTTCAACTGAGCCTCGCCGCATCGCCGATCAAGATGCCGAAGCCATCGTCTTTAAGTCTCCCGTAGGTTTTTTTTTTCTCCTTCCTTTCAAGTTTTTTAATTTAAGGTTTTTATTTTTGTTGTTAATCACGGGATGTAGTTGAGATCTGGTTTGGTTGTGATTTGGGCGTAAATTTTATGAATTTTTGGTTCTTAGTTGCTGGAATTAGAATTTATGGGAAATTTTTGTGTGGTCGAAACTTCATTTTGGTTTTTAGTTGATCGGGTTTTTGTGTTGTTTTGTAATTGGGAATTATGGCGGGTTTTGGTGAAATTGGTTTATTATTAGGTTAATTATTGCCTTAATTTGATTTTTGGTTTGATTTGAATAATTATTGTTTTATTAAGCCAAATAAGAAAGACAAAGTCAGGAGATTTACTAAAGAATCCGGGAAGAAAAACGAGGCCAAAGACTAAATAAGAAAACAAAATAAAAGGGCAAAACAGGCTAAAACATCAACTTCTAATCTAAAGCCTAAAGTGCTACTGCTGGATATTCAATGCCTGGCTTATTCAGAGATTTTTGTTATTAGAATTATCTTTGACTGTCTTCAGGCTACTGTTTCTGGCCATGATGTTTTCCATGGTAGAATTAAGCACAACATTTTTCTAGCCTGGACTATTTTTAGTGGTGCAGTTTGTTGTGCAGCTTCATGCAAACCCAGTTTAAGCAGAAGCTGGCGAAGACTTGCCCCTTGGGCAAGAAACAGCCTGCTTTAACCTGTCTTGATCTCATTTATTTGCCTTTTTTGTTTATGAATCTGTAAAGCTGATCTGGATCAATGTGTTGTGAGGATTAACAGTTCTAGAAGTTCACTTGTTTAAACAATAGAATATTTGCTTTAATATTAAGCTTTTTAGTATCCCCAACGATATGATTAGATTCATCATGTTACAATTTCTTGTCAAGTTGGTTTGACTTTTTTTTTTTTTTAATAATTGTGCTTTACCTTCTTTTCTATGTTTACTGACTTTTGTTTTGATTGAAGCTTGAGCTTTACCAATGTCTTTGAGATTTGTTGACAGTCCAGACCATTCTTCAGACTGGATCAGGATTGGGGGATTCCAGCAAAATTTTCAAGAAAACATGGATAGAATAAGGGTAGTATGTCATTAAGCTAATTAAAAGGTTGTCCTTTTGAGGATGCTGGTGCAGCCTGTTTGTAAGAAAACATAGACTTGCAAAAATTCTCTTAAAGTTTAGGTAATCTCATTTGGTATTGCTTCAATTCACTTGTGATTAATTTTCAACCTTGGCACTTGTTAGGAGGCACCGGCTTTTGTTTGTAGTTAGTGGTTGTGCTCTTGGAGTTTGGATGGTCACTATAGATTCAGTTATTGGTGTTATTTTTGTTATGAACAACTTAGTCATCATGATGTTTTGCAGAATGTAGATGGTTTCTGTTTCACATAAAAAGGCTGAGCTAGTCTGGAGCATATTGATCTTAACTTACCAATTGGGTAATAGAAACTGTTACCGCACTAGGTTGAAAGATACACTTTTTTTCCCCTTATTCACTTTTCCTCCATCTCTTTTATGGAGAAATGCTGTTAAGGTTCTAGTCTGATTTGATAATATCAGCAAATGCAAATGCCAGTCTTTCTTTCTAGGTGCATGGTTCAGCTTCTTGTAAATAAACTTCCTCTATATTTTTTCAACCAACTTACTTTTATCATCCAATATGATGCTTTTTCTTGAACGGAGCCTGAAGTTTCTCTCTTCTTGATTAATTTTGTGCCTAAATATATTTGCCCATGTTTCTAATTGCCCAGTTAAAGAGGAAGAGTGATGTAGCAGATCGAGAAGTTGAGTCTGGTGAGTGGGCAATGCCTCAAGGATACACTGAAGTGGTTAGCAGTCCTCTTCAGACACCTGTATCAGGAAAAGGGGGAAAGGCTCAAAAAACATCAAGGCTAACAAAAAGCAGTAAATCTGGTGCTCAAACACCTGCTTCAAATCTTGGTGAGTAGTATTGTATGCAAGTTATACGGCTAAGGTGATGTCTATGATTCTTCTGTGTACCTCACTTAGAACAGATCATTGTAGATCCACAACTTTTACTTGCAAAATCATCTTTTGACCTGGTTCTACTGAAGCTAAAGGAATAAAAGTTGATGTAGATAATGAGAAAACTTTTGAAAATTTGCAGGTTCTCCTGGCAATAATCTCACTCCTGCAGGTCCCTGTCGTTATGACAGCTCCTTAGGTAGTTTTTTCCCTTAAATATTTTGTTGGTGTTTACTTTCAGATGATTCTAAAAGAAGTTAATTGGCTAAATTATTGTTCGCATCATTTCACACTGCTTATGGAATTGAGTGAATGAATCTTAAGACTGACATAATGGCCTTTGAATTTAACTCAGGGCTTTTGACTAAGAAATTCATCAATTTGATTAAACAAGCTGAAGATGGTATTCTGGATTTAAATAAAGCTGCTGATACCTTAGAGGTAACTGTTGCATTATTTGGTCAAACAACCAGGTCATACAATTCCATTTCTTGATGGTTTTCTGTTCCTACAGGTGCAAAAGAGGAGGATATATGACATAACCAATGTCCTTGAAGGAATTGGTCTCATAGAAAAGAAACTCAAGAACAGAATTCAGTGGAAGTATGACCCATATCTTATATCTCTAAACTTTGTTGGCATTTATAGGTTTCCTACTTAAGAAAACACTCAATCTTTTAATTAATATCAGGGGGCTTGATGTCTCAAGTTCAGGGGAAGTTGATGAGAACGTTGCTACTTTGCAGGTATGATTCATGAAATTGTTGACTAATTGTTAATGACATGCAAATCCTTGATGGATTATGCTTCAGCTGTTATGGTTTGTTGTTTAGTATTTGTATTTACTGGAATATTAATCCAATTTTACTGTCTTTTCTTCTTTGTGGTGCATGCTTATGTACTTTTTCATTTTTTGCTGCCCTCTTTTTTGATTTGTTGCTGTTTTTGATTGTGTCAAATTCAATATGTCTTGTATTTCCATCTCAAATGATGAAAGTGCCTCTTCAGTTGAAATTTGAAAAGACACTATCAATCATTTCTAGTGAAACCAATATGCAGTATAATGGTGGATCCATCAATGCCTCCTCAACCTTCTGGCTGAGGCTAGTGGAAAAGTTATTTCCAGCTTTTATTTCAGATCCAGACTTCTGTCAAAAGCCATGACATCTTTATCACTACTTCACATTGGCAGTTTTGTACCTCTCTCTTTCTTGGCCTCTAATTTTAGCTTGAAAGTTACGGTGACCTGTTATTTAATGCTCTAGCACTTATGATAAAGCTTGTTTGAGTCATGTTCAGTTAATTTTATCACTAATAAATACAATATTTGGAAATGATGGATCAAACTCCTTTTCTGTTTCTTATCATCTGAGTTTGTAATGAAAACTTCTTATGTAGTAATATTCCTTGCAGGCAGAGGTTGAGAACCTTTCTTTTGAGGAACGCAGATTAGATGAACAAATAAGGTTAAGCTGCAATGGCCTCTGCTATTGTATCTCAGTTAAATTGATTTCATTCGCTGAATTGTTGCTGATGTTTCTTTATTGTACAGAGAAATGCAAGAAAGATTAAGAGACCTCAGTGAAGATGAAAATAATCAAAAGTAAATCTTCACTTAACCACTCAAGATATTATTACTTTTAGACTTTTTCCATGATTTCAGCAGAGCAACTTAACTCATTTCATCTTTTGCCATCTCAGGTGGCTTTTTGTCACCGAGGAAGATATCAAGAGCTTACCCTGCTTCCAGGTTTATTCATTGCTCAAATTTTTTATTAATGTTTTTGAGTTGGTAAACATAAGGTCCCTGGCATTGCTAATGCTAGGTATGCTTTCTACTTTCTGTTGTTAACTATGTGTTCTATTGCCTTGTTTAGAATGAAACACTGATAGCTATTAAAGCTCCACATGGAACCACTCTGGAAGTCCCCGATCCTGATGAGGTAGTGTCAAAGGCTTGAAGAATTAAAATGTGGTTTATGTTTTTATGCTCACTCATCATTTTCATTTTATAGCTGGCTGTTGACTACCCCCAGAGGAGATTCAGGATTGTCCTCAGAAGCTCAATGGGTCCAATAGATGTTTACCTTGTCAGGTACCACTGCTTCTTATTGGTTAAAGTTTAGTATCCTTACATGCAATTTTAATTTTTTTTCTATGGCATGACAAAACCTTTGTGCTAAGGACAAATGTCCATCTGAGCACTAAAGTGGTCAACTTTCCTGATGATTCCTCTCTCTGTCTCTGTGCTATTCTAGTCAATTTGAGGAGAAATTTGAAGAGATACAAGGTGTAGATCCACCAGCAAACTTTCCATCAACTTCAGGCTTGAATGAGAACCCAGCAACAACAATGGTAACGGAGGAGAGCAGAGGAAAGGAGATTGAAATGCAGGGTCAAGACATTAATGGAATGTGCTCAGATCTTAATGTCTCACAGGACTTTGTGAGTGGGATCATGAAGATTGTTCCCTCAGAAGTTGATGTAAGTTCAACTCTTTTACTGTACGGGATATTGCTGCTTTTAGAAAAACAAAAACCTTTGTCTTTTGACCTTAAACCTATGAGTGCGTTGATTGTTTACTAAAGGGGGGTTTGCTTTCCAATAACATATTCCATTCTTTTTGTTGAAAACAAGATTTGATTGACCATTTCAAAATACTCATGATGAAGCTTTTAGGTCGTATGCTTTTTTGATAAATCGTTAATGAGTAATCATTTCCCGATTTCTTTATGCAGAGTGACGCCGATTATTGGCTTTTATCAGATCTTAGTGTTAGCATCACTGACATGTGGCGGACTGAACGTATCCTCTACTGAGACGTGTACTCAGATTAATGTTAATTATTTACTCTTACTCAATATTTTGCATTCCATAACTCTTCAACCGTAGCTGGGGTCGAATGGAACGACTTTGATACACTTCATGAGGACTATGGCATGGCTGCCGTTAGCACGCCATGTCCCCAAACGCCTCCATCAAATGCCACTGAAGTGCCTTCAGCTGATTCAACCGGGAGGTGAAAGGCATATTTACATGTCTGAATGTGTTAGCATTCCTGATGCTTGGGAGATTGGCATGAAGGTTGGCAAAAGTTGGCTACTTGGATGCTCCTCAAAGTTGGAGGAACTAAAGAAAAGTAGCTAGCAGTCACTGTACAGTTAAGTAATACAAATGATCCACGTGATCTTGTAGTAAATAAGGTCATATTTGATCTGAGTTAATACTCCCTGTATATTATCCCATCTCTGTTGCTTTGTATTGCATCCACCAGCACATCTCATTAGATTCACTGGCATAGGATCTTATAGACATCATGTAATGAATGGCAAACAAATGTACCTTGTTTTTACTGTACTGCGAAAATTTTTATGAAATAAAGATGTTGTGACTTACATGAGATATTCAATTCATGGCAATTAACCCGATTTCAAGTACATTGAAATCAACCAAAATCTTTTTCTGAAGCTACAAGAAAAACTCTAAATCTCAATGGGAAACACCAGAGAAAAGTTCAACTTGTACGCTAAATGCGAGACAGTGTATTGAGCTTGCGAAGTACCCACAAATTTTAATTATCTTTTTCAACCTTCTTTCCTATCCAACTAGCAACAATGGGAGTCAGAGCCACAGTTGGGGGAAACCTTATAGGGGATGCAGCTTTGTGTGCAGCATATGCCAAAGCAAAGGTCCCAACTTTCTCTCCTGTCGCATCAGTTGAGATTCCCACCTGGAAATTCCATCTAATGGTTAGTCCCAAAATCCTTCCTTCATCACAAGTTATACATGTTTTCTTGGATTTTTTTTTATTGTACCTTTTGCAGCAATGCTTGAACATCAATGCCTGCACTAATTAGTAGATAACAAAGGGAGAAGGATATCAAGGAGAGAGTAATAGAGGTTGCCAAGTATGCTCCTCCATATTTGGCTAGCAGCTCCTTGGCTTGGTCACCCTTTGATTTCTTTTCTTCACCTTCTTCCTTTGAGCTGAATATCTTCAGATATATTCACAAATTACATGAATCATAGGCACAAGTTAGCTTCTCATACCCCAAACAAAATGAGTACAGAAATTCAGAAACATATCTTTTTTCGATTACAATTGGGGTTTGAACTTGAGAGTCGAAATTCACAGCTTCAAACCCGATTTTAGTACCATTGAGCTATTAATTTGCCAAGTACCAATTATTTCCTTTTAGTTCTTTGTCATGTTATCAATGTCAAAATGTAGAAATAAAACAAAAAATCCCCCCCCCCCCCAAATAAAAAAGCTTTTTCAATTTAATTCAAAATTCCCATGTTTGCTTCTTTTTCTTTTCTCTTAATTTTTGTGTTGTGAATTAATACAAGTGAAGCAGTCTCTACTTAATATTGAAAGACAAAATCGAAGGAAAAGAAACTATTATGAAAAATTAGATAGACGGCCAAGGGTTTTCTTACTGTTAACTATAACTTTTTTCTCCTTCTAACTAACCCAACCAAAAAAAAAACAAAAATCAAATGCATAAATATTCAATTATTTCTACAATCCCAAGTCAAACTCTCTACTACCAAAGCTAAATTTGTGCAATTGGGCTTTCTTTTAAAAAAGATTGCAGTACGAGGAAAACAAGAAAGATTGCAGGACGAGGAAAAAAAGAAAGAATTAAGTATGCTAAAATTTAAAACCCAAACTTGATGGTGTCATCTGCTGCATGAACCTACTTATCTATGCTCCGGGTTCTAGATAAAGCTATTTCAACCAACCAATTTCATACTTTATGCATACTTTTTTTTTTTTTCATTTTAATGAACATAGGGACATGCTTAAAGAAGAAGAATAAAGGAGTAGAGAAAAAGGTTAATTAACTAATTGAAAAGAGAGAACTACGTACCTTCCATAGCCCAACTTCAAGGCCATACTTCTTTGTAACTTCATCTGCAGATGAAGATGAAGATGAAGATGGGGTTTCGATTTCTTCTGTTTTTTCTTTGATAGCTTTAATTTTAAAGCTTTTCAACTTGGGTTTGATGGAAGTTGGAGAGTAGGGAAGCTTGGAGTAGTTTTGGGTATTGAAGAAAGAAGTGGAAGATAGAGAAGTTAGTGTTAGAATTGTTGTTGCCATTGTTGTTTAGCTGACCATACAGTCTCTATCCAATCAAAGTTTGTTTAAGACGAAAAAAATCTGGGAAAAACCAGAGACATAAACTCGAACTGGTTAAGTTCAGACTCCAGAAAAGGCAGTTCAATGTTTCCTGAGTGACAATATTGGCCCTCTAGTTTTCAGTTATTTTCAGTTGGTGAGTGGTGACCACTGACCAATACAAAAGAGAGGGCAGCCTAATTGAGGCCAGATGTGGACTTACGTGTCTTAATTTCCATTCTTTATTTCAGGATACAAAAACAATACCTAACCCAAGGCATGCTGTTCAGGCCGAACCGATTATGAGAACATATCAAATACACCTTTTTTATTATAATATTATAATTATGTAATTATAATTAAAATTATTTACAGATTTATCACTTATAAATATAAAATTTACAAATTACAATGAATCTCATCTAATTTTAAATTATAGTTAATTAATTATACTTCAATCATTAAAATTTTTTTATTATATTAATTGAACCTAAATTTATTATTATATTAATTGATTTTATTAATTTGAACTCAAATTGATGCAAGTATATAACAAGTCAAACTCAAACATGAAAAACAAAATTCAATTGAATTTGAGTATGTTTGAATTTGAAACTGCATTGATTTGACTCAATCTTGATTATACCCTGAATTGAAGAGCAAGTAAATATAGCAGTGAAATTGTCGATTTAAAGTTATGCTTTAGGAGATATATCAAAAGGTGGGGAATACATATAATTTTGATAGCAAGCTTTGGTTCAATTGATCACCTTTAAATCTTGGATTTTTATCTTCTTCTTCTTCTTCTGTCAAAGGATATTTAACTACATTTACTTGCTGGTGGAGGATGTTTTGGCCATTCTCCTATTTCTGGTTTTGTCCAATTAGCAGAATGATGAACAGCTAGCCCTGGAAAGGATAAGGTTAGTTTGAAGCTGAAACCAAGAAAGAATTAGTGCTAAACGCCATGAACCACGCACCTCCTTAATTATTATTAACATAGTCAAAATCAACCTAATGGCTTACTAAATATAAAATTTATATATATATATATATTTTTTTGGAACTAACTTCATACTAAAGAGAGTTAAACGAATAAAAAAAAATGACTTCAAAGTTTAGCTTGATTAATTAAATTAATAGAGAGGAGTGAAAATATCAAATTATTAATTAATTAATTAATTAATTAATTATCACAAGTTTTAATAATATTCTTAAGTGGCGTTATATAATAGGACTCAAAGTATTTTATCTGATTACATTTTTAAACTAGTTCAAATTGAATCCAACTAAAATTTTAATCCTTAACAGATAAACTATCATTTAAATCTTTATTCCTAGAAGATTCTACTGTTTTTTCCTTCAAAATAACTCAAACTAGATATAATCATAACTTCCAATCTTTCTCCAACTCTCAAACTAACCCTAAAAAAAAAGAGAGAAATTTTCTATGGCTTTCCAAACTATTCAGTCAAAGAGACTTGCCTGTGCAACTAACAAAATACAGCAGCAATCTGATTACTGTACAGACCTTCCGTCAGAGTTGGATTCGGGCTCACTTATTTCATACACTTCATTGAAAGATTTGATTCCTTCAAGCAAAGGGTCGAAGAACAATCCTTATTCAAAAGGGTTAATGATTCAATCTGCTTACGACATTCCAATAAGCAACTTGCTTGTGAAGAAAGCAGCATGGGTTTATTTGCGGCCAATGCCAGCGGTATTACCTCCTGAATCTAACACTGCTACTACTACCAAGGAACGCATTCTTTGCCTTGCTCGGGGTGATGTGAAGTCTCCAGTTAAAGCCTGCTTTAGGTTTATTCAAAGGAATATAATCAACAAGATTGCTAGTGCATTTGAGAAGTTGTTGGGAGAAATTCATGTTGATCGAAGCTGCAGGTTAGGGTCAAATTGATATAATCTTTTTTTTATTTTATTTTTATATTTTTGGTTTATAAATATGATTAGAATTGACTATCCATTTTTAGATTTTTTATTTATTCGAGAAAGAAATTCATTACTCAAAGAGTCAGGAATCTTTTAAGCATTAAATCAAATGTTCGGATGTTTGTTCAATTTTATATTTCAATATACATGCGAATAGTTTTTCTTTTTTCTCAAGATTCCAAGTCTTTTAACCTAAGATATCAATCCTTAACTTGAATTAAGTGCAAGTGACCTAAAGCTAATTACTTTTTATGAGATTAGTAGTGTTATCTTTTTTCTTTTGTTTTGTCGTTTTGATTTTTTTTTAATCAATAAAGCATTCATCAATATCATCCATCATTTTCGTATTTGATTTGCTCTGAATTTGTGAATTTTATCCCCAAATTCACAAATCCATCAATATCCCCAAATTCACATGCCCAACATTTCCTCTGAGCTAAGTCAAATACCTCAAATAAATTTTTAAAAAAGAATTCCCAAGATCAGAATATGACTCCTTCCCAAAGTCACCTTTCTCTCATTCAAATCTATCTATCTAGCCACTACTAAAAATTTTAAAAAAAAAATGTTGAAAAAGACTCCTACCAAGAATCCTCTTCTTGGCTTTCTAGTTTCTACCCCAACAAATCTATCCCACTCAATCCTGTAAACTAAAATCCATATCTATGTCAATTTTCTCTTTTTCTCTTTTTCCTTTATGTCTTCCAGCAAGAAAAATCAATTGAAAACCCTGTTAACAGCCAATGCCGGATGTGGCTGTGGCAGGCAAAAACTTTCTGATGTTCATGTACCAAAGTTAAAATCCAAAACATCTGCACCTCAAAATCCTAAACTATGCTCTTCCTCAAGCTCTTACGACAAAAACAATGCCCTTTCAGCCATCGAAAATGATGACTTGACATCGACTTCTTTCTCTTTCACTACTTTCAACTCTGAATCTGAACCTGATCTTCCAAGACCCTCGAAAGTTATGCTAAGCCCTTGCCCTAAAATCATCGACAGCATCGCTATGGTGAAGGATTCCAACGACCCATATCAAGATTTTCGACATTCGATGCTTGAAATGATCATGGAAAAGCAAATCTACTCGAAACATGATCTTCAAGAGCTTCTTCAATGCTTTTTGGAGCTGAATTCCCCCGCCACCACGATGTTATTGTCAAGGCTTTCTTGGAGATCTGGAACCAGGTTATCTCCAAGGAGATTGTTACGGTACAGGATCAGGAAGTATGTGTTGTTCATGGACAGAAACATAGATCCTAGCAAGAGAGCTTTTGGCAGGTGTGCGCAGGAACATCTTGATTTGTCACATGAATACATTGAATTCGCACGTGGGAAACTGCATGGCAGTTGGTCAATGTCAGGGTGCTGTATACGTAAGATTTTTGCATATAACTATAATTAATTACAATAATAATAATTGATATAATATATTTTAATTTGTTTATGTTTAATCAATAAGCAATTTATTAAAAAATTATTAATTGTTAAAAAATTTTGGTCATTGATCATTGGAACCTTACGAGGTATATACCGTGGCCTCTAAAAAACCTTTCCATTAATTGTTTCAAGGAAAATACAAATCTTATTTTATTGAGTGTGTACTGAATCTTGAATGAAATAATGCAATATATATGGACTATCATCAAATTATTTATTTAAAAAAAAAAGCCAAAAATTTTTTGGTCCGAGCATTTGACTTAATGCATCAGTACTAGCTGACCTAACATTTGAAAAACGGAATTGCGTTTGCATAAAGAAAACAAAGTGATTTTTTTTTTCTCAATATGCTGATGTATATTAGTTTCTTTCTTATAAAAATAATATATGGCAAGCTATTGAACTCAAATCTCACATTTTCGTAAGTTTAAACATAAGTACATTATAAATATAAATGTTATTGATTTAGTTTTGATCTAAAATAAAAAATTATAATATTTATATTGATATAAATGAATCTCTTCTCTCATTTATTTTTTTAATTATAAAATTAAAAGAGATATATTCAAACCTTGTGAATTTGAATAGAGATATATACAATTATCATTAAACTAAATTTCTAGTGATGATTCATTATCTAAAATCACTTATTTGAAGTTTTTATATCTTAAAATTTATGTCTTTTCTTATTTAGAAAAATTCATGGTATTTCCATAAAAAAGGATTTTTTCTTCTTGGGTAGATGTAGCTTGAAAAAGAAGTAAGGGAATATGAAGGTTAAGACTTAGAATTTAAAATCTATGGTATTTCACCTTAAAAGTGAAAACATGATGGATTAATCTATGGTATTTCACTTTAAAAGTGAAAAATGATGGATTGAACCTATAGACACCTTATTTCATCTTGAGTTATTTGGGCATTGGATTTAATTAATTTGTTTTATTATTTATTTATTAAGTTTATTTCATCGTGGGTTATTTGGGTATTCAACCTAATCAATTTATTTTATTATTTTATTTATTAAGTTTTACTTTTATCATTATTTTGAAAATAAATAAAAAGAATAAAAAATGGATGAATGAAGTGATAAGGTTTTGTGTTTGAAATTTGGAATATTGGATTAAATGTTTGAAATTTAGGTGCTTTTTTTTAAAACTCAAAATTCAGATCATAGGGTATAGGATGCTTAGGTTTTTTTGAATTAAAATCTTATCTTTCATTGTCTTATTTAAACCCTGGTTCAAGAAAGACACGAAAAAAAAATACAAAGCAAAACCTAATGGATTAGAGTGAAAAATACAAAGTTCATTCTTTAGTCCCCGCCACTGAGCTTTTCATTGCGCATGGTTGTTATTCCCAATACAACTTTTAACAGCCTGAATCCATAACCCACCTTCTCCCATAATCAACACAGTACATTCAAGCAAAGAGAAAATATAGAAAAAAATCTAATAGAAAACACAGGCAAAAACAAAGTCATTGGCTAAAAATCTATTACCACCAAATTGACTAATACTATGACCCACCAAACTGCCTAATCCAACTACCATTAAAATTGGTGTGGCTGATAGCCCAAATACCTATTACAAAAATCAATTAGCCACGAAATACCCAAAACCTAAAATATCTGAAACTCAATAGATAATCTATTATCAACCTAAGATCACTCGTAATAAGCAACAAGGAAAGCAATAATGATTGTGACTTACGTCAACAGAGTGACGGTGATGAAAGAGTAAGGTTTTGGGTGTAGGATTCTATTGTGACTTACATCGGTAGAACGATGACGATCAAAGAGTAAGATTTTAGGTACAAGATTTTTTATTTGAATTTTGAGGTTGAAGAAAAGAAAAAGCAAAAAACAAAAAGAATAGTGGTAGTAGTGACATGTAGTAGCCGATTGTGAGCCATTCTTCAAACCATTTCTTATGGGATAGCTGAGCCGTAGTTAGGGCTTAGCCGAGCCGTGATTGTTTTAGTATTTTTTTTGTTCTTTTTGTTATTTTGCCTTTTCTTTAGTGAATTTTTTTTAAAAAATAATAATAAATAAAAATATTTTCAAGAATGATGAAAATTTTGGAATGTCAATTTTCTTAAAATAAAAATATATTTCAAAAAAATATTTTAAGGAAAAATGAAAGCATCAATTTTACTTACAAAAATAAAATTTTTCAAAAATTATTTAAAAAAACACTTTTAAAAGAAAAAGTAAAAGTATCGATTTTTCTTAAAAAAATAAAAAACTTTTCTCAAAAAATATATTTCAAAAAAAGAGAAGTTAAAAATATTAAGTTTTCTTAAATAAATTCCTTAAATAAAAATCTTCCGGATCTCAAAAATATATTTAAGAGAAAAAGTTGAAAATATAAATTTTCTTTAAATAAAGGTATTATTTTTTTAATAAAATAAGCTTAGAAAAATTAAAATATTAATTCCTCCTTGGAAATTTTTTTAAATGTTAAATAATCCGACAATAGAGCCTCTGTAAAACAAACAGTAATTTTCTTTTATATTCTTGATGTGAGAAATTTTTTTTAATTTTTTGTCAAAAGTATTTGAGTCAATTAAGTATATTTTTTAATAATAATTATCTGATAATATATTTTAAAGCTGAATGGATAATACGAAATCAAATTGATACAATCATTTGATGGGCATTGTGGAGATGTCATAACTTTCATCATACATAACCGTATTCTCGTTTAGTTCTAATTTCATAGACATTGAATATACAATTTAAAGATATTTAAGTCAAATTTAAGATTTTTCTTTAAAAAAATCAGATTTAGTTAAGTGGTTAATTATACCTAAATAAAAAAGATTGGTGACAATTCTTTAAATCAATGTCTAATAATAGATCTCTAAATCTAGATATTATGACAAAACAAACAACGCTCAAAGTCGGTAATTGTCTTTCTCTGCTTTCATGTTTTAATCAATTACTTACAAAATAAATAAAACTCAATCGTCAATTCAAATATAAACCAAATCGTGACTGTTTTCAACAAGTTTCGAATCTAACGAGACTTTCATTATCATATAACTAAGATCACACACAGATATTATATATATATATATATATATATAGATATAGATTACTAAGCAAGAAGATTTTATTATTAATAGAGAAAGATTGCAGGGGTAGTGACGTTCCCAGACCAGGGGAATCAAAAACAGAGAGACTCTGACTCTAAACAAATTGCAAACAGACCATTCAGATATCAACCAGAAGAGTGCTCAGGCAAATTCTCTATCATAAAACTTTTGTCCATGTTGGAACTGGAGAACAACTCCACATCCGGCTTTGAGTTTAGTCATTTGTGGAAACTCAAAATCCCCCACTCGTCAAACCAGAAGGGTATATCATGTCCATTTCCAATCACCAATCTACATCCCTCATTACCAATAAGACATTGATCCTATGGTCCTAAGGTAGGTTGATGACATCCTGCCAAATCAAAGACGTCTTAAATAAGACCCACACGTACAAGGCAGCAGCCAAGGTTGTATATTAGAACCATATTTTGCTGTTATTAATCTCCTCCAGAGAGAGTTTTTTTCCATAGCAAACCTCCACCACCATTTACAAAGAAGAGCAAGGTTCTTAGCTAAACTAACAATACCCAGCCCCCCAAACTTTTTTTGATTGTCAGAACTCCCCCATGAGAAGGCTCTACGGATTTCATCAATTTCTTTAATCACAGCAACTGGGGCTTTAAAAACTGACATGTAATAAATGGGCAAACATGATAACACAGAATTTATGAGAACTACCCTTCCTCCGAAAGGCAGAAACTTCCTTTTCCACAAGGCAAGTCTTGCTCTGCATCTTTCAATAGCAGGTTTCTAAGTTCCAATCTTCCTTGGATTGGCACCAAGAGGGGTGCCAAGGTATTTGAATGGTAATGTTCCTCTTTTACTGTGACATACACTGCTATCACGCATCTTAAATTATCTTTTTTCGAGACTCTAATGCTCGACGACTTGGCTTCTGGACAAGGAAGCAATATATCAAAATTCCCCACTGCAATTTCTTTGCTTAACTTCACAATTTAGGCAAAGCCCATATAAAAAATGTACTTTGGGCTTAATTTGTTTTACTTTCATTTTTATTTTGTCCAGGTAAATATCTTTTTATTTAATTTTCATTAATAATTTATTAATGTAATTTAATTTTTTTAATTTTTATTTTGTAATGCAGATTTGAGATTTTTTAAAGGTAAAAAATTTGTAAATTATTAATATGCAATTTTCTCTCTTATTTTCTTAGTATGATCCAAACATAGTGAGGATTTTATTTTTCCTATCCATTATTTTGTTTTCTTTAAATTTTTCCTGGACATTTTTCTTTTCACTATATTTTGTATGATACAAACATAGCCTTAGACTTCCCAATGTAGGAAGCAAAACTATATCCGCATAAATCTTGAAATTCCAATACAATCACTTAATAATTGGGCAGTCCTCCTTTATTAACATAACCAAAAAGGGATAAAATACATATAGTCTATCCAACTAAGATTATTCATGTAAGATCGTGTGGATAGATATAGTCTCATGGAACTCCTTGACATTTTTTCTTCTTCATAAATAGAACTTGGCATAGATTAAGCAAATAATGTTTGACCAATACATTATGAAAATCATGACAGTCCTTGGCGATGTTCAATACATAGAGAACTTTGTTGGAACCATACCAGAGCTCTATTCTGCATACTTTTCCCTTCTCAGCTCTATTCATGGTGGAACGCTTTCATTCTTAGTCTTGCTAGAACTAGAATGTTGTCCTGGAAGATGAAGCTGAAGAGAAAGAAATCAAACAAGAAGAGGAGCTTGAATTTACAGCGGCAAACATGTCGATGAAGGCTCCCACTATAAAACCATGGTTCGTTTTTCTATTCATCTTCAAGTACCAGGCCAATAACTCCTCTAGATGCTCCTGGTCTTTCAGTTCACAAGCCTCAACAATTTCTTCCATTGAAATTCGAAAATCCATGTAAGGATCCCCCGAATCTAAGGCCAGTGCTACACAATCCTTGAAGGGAAAACTGGCTGCCTCTAATATCGAATTAGTGTTGCCTGGCTCGAAAAACAGCCTGTTTGATCTCAGTGCCTTACTAGCCATCTCGAGCAGTTCTCCAGAATCTTTAAGCACCGGGAAGCAATGTCTTGACTGAGTCCCCGAGTAGTCCATCTCTGAAATAAACCTGGCAGTGTCTGATAAAACAGAATTGGAATTCTTTAAACTTTTGGGCTTGGTTATGAATGAAATGGCTTTGAAGTGATTAAAAAGTGACGATTTCCATGATCCATTGGTTTTTGGCTTCTTGAAGATTGAAGGAAGCTTCATCTTCTTAACCATTAAGGCTTCTGTGACACCTCTGTCAAAGAGGCTGCATTTCCCTCGTTTGAATAGGTTTCATTTTATATGGATCGAGTTAAATGCAGCATTAATCGTTTGCAAAGAGTAAGGTGAAAAACAGACAAGGGTTTGTTGGGGGTCTTCATGTGAACGTTATTGTAGCTTCATCATAAAAATCAATTAATTTGTTTGGTCTGCATAAATGGAAAATTTTAACGTTTCATACGGCTCTGGGCTAAGTGATTTTCTTGCTTTTAGTAGTTTACTCAATGCAATTATTGATTAATCTTAACTCTGACCAACAACCATTTTGGTTGAACTTGAATTGCTAGTAAATATAGTAATTTTCACCGACCAATGGATCCAGATTCACTAAATGTCTGTTGAAAATGAAAACAATTAAAGTGTAACAATCACGTATAGAAATTTGCTCCTCAATTCATTTATTAACCAAACAGTTCCTCCTCAAACATGGTTAATTTAGTCTGTTCCATCCTTGATTTGCTTTGATGAGTGGATGAACTGATAGCAAGTATAACAAAACTCAAGCTTTTTTCCCCAATTCAAGGACCAAAACAAAAGCAAGATGAGAGAGTTGAGAAACAACTTGAACTTGACACAAATTTATACATGGGTTCTTATCAATCACGATAGTGGAGAAGATTTTGAATCTCAAATACTAACACACCTAAGTAAATAAAATGTTAACGGGGGTGGCAAAGGTAGAGAGATAATGCCAGGGAAAATGAAAGAAGAAACACAAAATCAGCATGATAAATGCTCAGTAGTTGATATCATCTCTAACTAAACAAGATTTTGTTTCTTTTCCTACACTGAAAGTGAAACATCTTTTCCGCATGAATGTGGAGGTTGTAATAAAACATTAAAACATAAGCATTAATAAGAAACATGTGAAATTAATATGGCATTCACTCAGCATTGCTGGCATAATCAATACTTTACTCCATTAGATGCGTTGCTTTTTCATTGCTATTGCTGTTGTTACGACACCAGGTTCGAAATTTTTTGAGGAGCTACTGCTTTGAAATAAGATCAGAGTATTTGATTCAATAATTAATAAATGATTTTTCTATTTCAAATGCAAATTTTGAGTTCCTCTTCTCCACATTTATAAAAAAAAAAAGTTTTGGAGTTCAGGAGCATGTTTAGGCTAATAAGCATGATGCACTTTGAATTGGGTGGTCTTGACAAGGACTTTTCAACTTGAACTGCTTAGATGTTATGATTTATATCAACTTGAAATCTATTAAATTTTTTTATTTAATTAATTTTATGTTTTTGTTTTACAAAAGATATTTTATAAATTAAAAATGATATAAATATTTATATTTCAAACCAAACTTTAGTACACAATTAATATGAAATTTATTACTATTTTCTCTCATTTTAACGAAGTCCTATTATTTTCAATGATACATTGTTAGTACTTTAAAATTAATTTTAACATTAAATATTATAATTCACATCAATTTATAAAATATTACAATTTACTTTGGCCCATTATGATTTATGATTTTATTTCATAAAAAAAATTTCACAAATTAAAATTGACATGAACATTTAAATTTTAAAATTTACTCCAATATAATTGATATAAAATTCATAACTCTAAAATTATAACATCAAGCCTCTCTAGGGACAATTTCTTCCGTTCATGCCTCCCCTGACAGGAATATTACTAAAACATCCCTGTTGTAGACAGCATTAGTAAAAATAGATGATTATTAGCGGTTGATTAATATAGCATGCCAAATTATTTGACAGCATTGTCATATCATTTCATACGTTTAATTACATTTCATTTGAAAAAAAATAAATCTTAAATATTAAAAACGTAAATTATATTTTTTTTGATCTCTTCACTGTTTAAGCTTTATTTTGATCATCCAATCTTATAAAATTTATTAATATTTTAATCCTCGCGTATTCAAATAAAATAGTAAAATACTACTAGTTTTAATCTGATGGATTATCCAGTGGCAACGAGAGTATTAGAAGTCAAATTTAATCAAAGCTTAAGGCTGCCATTCTGCAAGCATGGTCAGCTACCCAAAACCCAAAGACAGGCATGGTTTAATTAAAAATAATTTCAGAGTGATTTGCAAAATTTTAAACTAATTAATCAATGAATTAATTAAATTGAATTATCTTTCAATTAAATTAACATGATTTAATAAACTTCCAACCCATACAATACACCGGCATGCTTTTCCGGTCCATCATTTACAAAATACACGTCCCTCATTTTCTGAAACGCGTGCCATGTCAGCAATGAATCGGACCCCGCTTGGTGACATTTCCCAACCGCCCTGTTCACATCCAGGGTCCGAGCCACCCGGTCCAACCCACCATACAAGCTATTGCAAAATCTCATCATGTGCTTCAAATCATAAACTCTGTTTCCGAAAAACACCCTGAGAATCCTCAAAAACTCATCTAAGCCTCCGGGCAGGTTCCGGCGCGTTAGGATCTTGACCAGGTACCCGAAATCATACGCGCTGTGAAAGGTCACCCAACTCACTGAGTCATTGCACACGAGTCCAGACGACATCATCAACTCGGCGAATCGTACCGAGTCAATCCCCTTTTCCTTATTCTTCTCAAAATCAATCCCTTGTCTCCTCAAAAGGTCGATGGAATCAGGGGCGTGAGCGTCACGGTCCACATCGAAGTCTCGGAAATTGAATTCCCAGATGAACTGAGTGTGGGTTCCGAGGTTTGGCAGATTACCCGAAGAATCGGAGAGGGTGAGGCCCACTTGGATCAAGTTCAAAGCATCAACGTTTGATTTGAGATCTTGTAATGATCGGAGGGTCGGAGTTGGCCAAGATAAGGCTTAGTAGGGTCCACTTTTGGTCTGAAAACAAGACCGGGGAATTCGGTGTCCATAGAAATAAAAGGGTACTCATCAATTACCTGACTGATCAACTCGAACTCTGATTCCAAATTATCCGACCAAACCTCCCTTATCTTCACAGAACTCCGGTCTGAATCTTCAAATCCCATGTCCGAAAACCCAAAAAAAGACGCTTGTTTTTTCTTCTTTCGATTTTGCTTTTGGTTTGGTGTAGAGCAAACGAAAGAGAGTGGGAAGGTTATATATGTGGCTAGGAAGAGATGTAGGGGGCTTGAAGATGTTGCTCGGAAGGTGGTCAAAGTTGAACGCTTTGGGTCTTTTTTGACTGGAGAAACAACGTACGTGGACTTGGTCCTCATCCTATTGTCCAAATTGATACGCCATGTTTTTGCAACAATGTGTTTTTTCATTTTTGGTTTTGTTTAATGGCAAATGGGTGATTGGTGGGGGACTTTTCTTTCTCATTTGAGTTCCGTAAGTCTTCAGAATCCAATTAGTAGACTATTTTCAATGAACAGAGACTACTGAGTAATGACTGAGTTACGGTGGGTATTTTCGTTTCATATGACTCAGCAGGCTTGACAGGAACGTGGAAATCGAGCTAATATAATAATTGGTTAATATTTTTATCGTGATTTCCAATCATCAAAACTTAGGAAAAAGGTTTGCGTGTTAATCTACCGCCTGAAATTTCTTGCCAGTTTACTTCAAATCCAGATGAGATGACTAAGACAATTGATCTGTCATGCTCACTATTTTAATAATTACTTGATTGATCAGTCCACGATAAGCAAATTGTTAATTGTGACTCACTCCTTGGGTTTCTTGGACCCATTCTCTTAGTTGACTTTGGAACTTGTTCTAGATCTCCACCGAGAAAATTATTAAAAAAATGGAAAAAATAAAAATGATATCGGTCAAATTAAGTTCAGTTATATCATTCGAAATAAAAGATTATTATGTTTAAAAATATTTGGTGTAAGTGGTATTTTTGAATATAAAAAAAAATAAATTATTTCATTTATAAGATATTGTGGAAAGATAATTCGAAGCATTTTTATTTTTTAAATTAATCTAATATGTTAGATTAATTTAATATATATAATATTATATCAATTCGATTATATCATTATATCATTTCACATATTTTTTTATTTTTCACTTATAAATAAAGCTCTATAACTATTATCAATCGAATTTATTTTTTTTTACTTTCTTGCTTTTTATTTTTTATAAATTTTTTTAATACCAACTTTTAATTTAAACATAAAAATAAAAATACAAAAAACACCTATTACTTTTATCTCTAATCATTATTTTTTTTTATTATTTCAAGATCTATACCCTCGTATCAAAATCCAACACAAATATTTGAGACAATTCAAATAATTTTCAAGAATGTGTTAGAGAGGCAAGAAAGAGGAAAGAATAGCTTATGTAGAAATTTAATTACATGGGTTTTTAATAAGAAAATATATCAAGTTCTGCCAATAAATTTTATAGTTCTGATAAGAAATATGTATAATTTTATACTTTATAAAAAAAAATGTACTTTTATACTTCTGATCCATAATGTCAGCTTGGTCTACGCCCAGACTCAGCGTGGGAATAAGGGTTTGGGCCATAGAAGCTCCCTATACTAAGATTTACAGTTTATACTGAATGACCGAATGATCTGTTTGAGATAGACTTGGGCTGGCTTTAGATTGGGCTATCCATAATGTTTAAGCTTCAAAATTTTTTTTTTAATAAATTTATATTTAATACACTTATAATATATAAATTTTATATATTATCAATAAATAGAATGATATCAATTAACTAATGAGATTAATAAGATAATATTATTTTATTAATAAATAATTTTTTTAAAAAATTAATATTATTTTATATATTTATTTTAAAAATTGATATTTATTTATTAATAAAATGACATCATTCGATTTATGAATAATGTATATAATATATACATTAACAATGCATCAAATATATATATATATTTTAAATTATTTTTACTATAAATAATATTCATCAATTTTTTAATTCTTTTCTCTTAATAATGTTTTATACATATTATTCAACTACACAATAAAAGATATAATATTCGTCTCACCTGTTTATATTAACATTTGAATTCATATTATGACTTTCAAGATATAAACTTTAATAATTTTCTTTAGTTTTCTTTTCCATCCATTTGCAATTTTTGAGTTTAATTCACTCTATCGTACATGTATTTTAAAAGATAGCATGTAATATGTTTATATTAAATTTGGATTTAGAGGATAAAATTCTAAAATTATAAGATCGAAAGTCGATCAAAAGCAAAAACCGTAGTTATATCCAACTTTTATACTCTGACGCTTAAATCAATGACGAAAAGAAGAGAGTAAATAGAAAATAATGAGTGACTTCCTTGCTCGAAGAGTGAGAGGGGATATTTAGACCGGAGGGATGACTTAGTTGCGTTTGGAGGACCTGACTTGAGGTGTCAAATTTTAGGTTGATATGGTGTGATCCAACAGACATATTCTGTTGACTTCCAATGTGAGTGTGATATATCAGCTTGGTCAAATGGTGTCAGGTGTGCTTACAGTTTAACTGGGCTGAACTGTACTGCGATAAATCAGATCGACATGCCAAATCAACTTGGTCAAACAACTAAAAGTGCCGTTTTAACCTTTACAGTCGCTTTTTGTTGTGAAAAAAAAAAAATGATATTACCCTTAAAATTATAAAATACCTCTACCACTGTATTTGAATTTAGATCTTAATGCTTGTAATTTTTTTCTTATCCTCTACTGCAATTTTTGGTAAAAATAAAATGCTATATGTTAAGTTGGGGTGACATCGCCTGGGCTGTTGGATGTTTCTGCAGACAGCTAAGTTAACTAATTTAGCAGTGACCGATACTGATACGCTACCACTTGTCTCGTCTCGTCGTTGCCTAGTAAATTAAGTAACACACCAAAAAAAAAAAAAAAAGCCCACTACCAAGTAGCCATCACTGATCTAAAACCAATAGTTTATGCAACAAAAGCTGCCAACATTTAAACACAGCAACTCAAGCTTCAAATTTCACCATCCCATTAAAGACATATATATATTTATATATATATAGGTAATTTCTTGATGATGAGATGAAACAGGTGAATCACGATACATATTAATAAAATCACGTACGTTGAGCTATTAGCTTGGGCGTGTAGTAGAATCATGGTAAAAATTTTCTTTTGATGTGGGAAAAAACGAACAAAAAAAAGAATTGATCGGTGAAAATTAATGTACGTGTTTGCAGATCGGTGTTTTTGCTGAAATATTACTCTTGCGTAACTTTCACGTGTTCCTTTTCCTTTTTAGACGTCTTCTTGGTAACTTACCTCCTGCAAGCCAGAAATCATTTTTCCATGGAAAGAAACTTCCACATATTTTTTTTTCCCTTGAATCAGCCACACGAAAGTTTGGATTCATTAATGAGAAAAGACGTCCAGGGCAAAGCATCAGTAGGAGGAGTTACCATCCATATATCTGTCAGAAAATAAAGAAAATTTCATAGGTAATTTTAAAGTACCGGTGATGATGATCAGTCCTGCTTAAAAATTGGTGAAAAAGTTGGGAAATAATGTAGTACGTATTGTCTTTATTGAGTTTGTGATTTTCTGGCTCTTGTGCTGCTGCTTTCTACCGGTTAGGACACATTGATGACAGCCGCAACAGCTTTATGTAAAAAAACTTCAACAAGTTTACACTTTTCAGTTTATGTTATTTTTTTCTCTGATTGGTTTCCAATAAAAATAAATGTGTTATTAAAATTATTCAATCTACAAAAACCATGTTACATTAATTATTTTTAAATTATTATTATAATCAATTATTATATTTATATAATCAATTAAATAATTAATTTTTACATAATAATTAGATTACAATCAATGAATAATCAATTAACAAATTAAAACAATCAAACTTATATGCATTAAGACTTGAATTTAGAATCGCGGGATCCTAGAATTTCATTGGCCCTAAGTCAAAGTCTCGTTGGCCTTGCTACACTAAAGTTATTTTGTCAAGTTAATAGTTATAAATATTAGGTTTCTAATTTTTGTCGGTGAGTTTTGGGAAATATATATATATATATATAAAGTAACTTTACCTAAAATCGTTCTGTCAATAGTAATTGCTATTTCAAATTCATGAAAAGTATAGATTTATTCCTGTTTTTCAACTTGGAAGGATCCTAGTGGGGAACCCACAAGGGTTTTACTCAAAACTTGTCCCATTGGTATTTGATATTTGCTGGGGCTTGGGTTGTTTTTTTTTTTTTTTTTACTTATTATTAATTATAAAATATGTAACTTAAATATTCGTAATGCCAAATTACTTTTTTTTTCTCGCCGACCAACATATACGGTACCTTACTATTGTAAAATTGTATTTTCTTTTCGTATATATAGTTATTGATTTCAAATGTTTCAAAGACAAGATCACCACTCTATTGTTATTGTTTGATATAAATTGTATATTCGTATTTATTTATTTTATATCAAATATAAATAAAATACAAAATTTATCATATCATAATTTATATTAAAACGTAAACATAATTTTTTTTTTGTTTTTACTAAATTTATAAATATTTTTTATTAAAATTTTAAACTATAATACATCGGTATTTTTATCATCGTGTTTAAAGTTATTTGCACTATAGTTTGATTTTTCTGGGGGAAGCTCGTGCAAACTTGGAGGAGGCTGACATTCACCTTCAATATAATTTGAAATTGATGCTAACTATCTATATATGCCCAAGTACCCTCCCTGGGTAACAAATTGCATAAAATGATTGGTTGCTAGCTACAGTGGCCTTCTGGATATTTATGTATCCAAACTTTTCATTCAATTTAAAACTAAATCCTTTTTTCTGGTGCAAATTTAATTTACCCTTTGGAAACCTCTTAGGGGAGGGTCACTACCTTAGTTAGAATTATAGTTTAATTTTTCTTAATAATATATATAGGTTAGAAAATATTTATTACCATCTTAAGCATGGTTAAAGGTTAAGCATTAATTGTAATTACACATTTAGATTGCGCATATTAGACATGTCGAATTGTAGGTTGAACTTAATTTAGATAGTAAGATCATAATACATATCATGACACTTGAGTTAAAATTTTAAATTTGAGTTTACTTGCCTTTTTCTTGTATACAAAAAATATTTTTCAAAATCCGAGATTTAATCCAATTGTTTTTTAAAAAATTTAAAATTCAAATATTAATACTTAGTAATAATTTTTTTTATCTTTAAATTACGGTCTCTTTAATAAATATATTAGATATAGTTTCTCATCCATATTTATTTTTGAAAATGTATTTGGAGTAAAAACCGAACTACCCTCTAATTAAGGCAGAACCAACTAGAGGATTAGAGGGTGAATATTGCTTAAATTAGTCTTGTTTGGCTTTAAATGTGCAAAAGCAGCTACCTATCAATGTCTGGCTTTCAACGCTATGAATTAAAATGTTTTAATTATTTGAAAACGAAATCAAACAAAAAAAAGGGTTAAAAAAAAAAAAGAAATTGAATATAATCTTCCATTGGTTGCAAAAGAGGAAAAGTGGAAGAAACTTATTAGAATCCAACAATTAAAACACTTGATGTTGTGTAAAGAGAGTTTCTTTTTCTTTTTCTTACGGGGAAATTAAACCAGACATCTGAATATGAAAAGAAACACAGATATATGATTAGCACAAAACTTCAAACATTTAAACAGAGGAGAAAGAAAAGAAGAAAAACTAAAACCAAACAAACGAAAAAAAGAAGCCTATTAGAGCAGTAAGTTGTAATTGTTCCATGAGAAAGCAAGCAAGAAGAATCCAAGTTCTTCATTCAGTTCCTTGCCTTTTTGGCGTTCTCTTCGTTGAGAAAATCAAGCAAGACGGTGCTTTTGCATCTGGGGCACTTTGGATCCACCTCCGAGAGCATAACATACATGAGGCATCGAGGACATCCCACCAACACCATGGAAGTTGCTTCAGGACTACTCGGGTATTGCATCATCGTGTCGTCAGGCTCCGAAGACACGCATGAACTTTCAGGTGACATTTCACAGGAGGAAACCGATGTGTTTGGCGACCCAACTTGTTGGTTATCCCTAGGAGGTGATAGGTTCAGCTTCAATTCCAGCTTTGGACTGTTTCCTCTCCGACTCATTGTTTTCTATCTCTAATTATAATGATCACATACAAAAGAGACCATCAGCATGAAACAGTCAGATAAAAAGAAAGAAACAGAAATGGAGAGAAAACTGAACAAACATAATTCACCTTTGGCAAATAAGCCTTCAACTACCAAATTGAAGGGTTTATAAACCAAGAATTATCAGATAAAATACCCGAGGGTATTGGAAGTAGCTGCTACCAGGATGTTTCTAAGAAGACATGTAAAGGTGTGGATCATAGAAGAAGAAGAAGAAGAAAAGAAGAAGAAGAAGAAGAAAAAGACTGATGCTTCTATTCCCTGGAAACTAGTCTAACATCAACTTTTAGTTTGGGTTTCTCCTGCAGATTGATTTTGAACCGCTTTGGACCATTATATATGCAATGATTTTCGGGGGAAGAGAAAGAGAAGAGATGGGATTTTCTTTAATTGTAAATTACTCATGGATAGGAGTGGAGGGTAAGGAGAATTTAGGACGTACGACTATTTAATTTCTCTTATCCTCATACTGCAATATTTTTTTGTAAAAAAAAAAAGGGGGTAAAAAACAAGTTGGATGATATTGAAAGGTGAATTGAATAGCATATAGAAGGGGTTGCAGAGTGTGACTTGGTGCCTTGAAATAAATTAACAGTCGGAGGGAAAAAAAACAAGAAAAGAAATAACAAATAAAGGCCAAAGATGATTGTAGGTGGGAGAAAATTTTTTGTTGTAATACTAAATACTGCCTTCAATGATGACCGAAGGAGTTGGTTTGAGTAATTTTCATTGCAAAAGGAAAATAGCAAGACATCATTTATGATTCTTTTTTCCTATCTTTCGTGTATAAGTTTCTCGCCTTTTTTTTGTCTGTCTCTTTCTTAACTACTTAATGTATTCAAGTCAAATTTCCCACGCTGTTCTCATTTTCTTTTTTTTTTGTGATAACGGTTCGGGTGAAATTAGATTTAATTTAATTTTTTTTAGATAATATATAATATTATAAATTTTTAAAATTTGATGTACGAATCTAAATCAATTTTCTCTTAAAATTGATCCGATCCAAATCAAATTTTATTGGTTCAATTCAATTTAATTTATCAATTTTTAAATTTTAATTTTTTGTTTTTTATATATTATTTTAATATAATTTTTAATATATTTAAATAGATATATATAATAATTATTTTATTTTATAAAAATTTAAAACATGTATAAAAACTAATAAAAATATATAATTTGATTTGATTAAATTTTTTTTTTCATATTTTGATTCAAAATTCAATTCAAACTTAATATATATATTTAATATCTGAACCAAATAAAATCAATTCGAATTAAATCAAATACTACAATTTTAAATCAATTTTGTCTTTCTCAATTTTTTTCTCACCCCTACTTTTTCATCCCAAATTCTAAAAAGGAGAAAAATCATATAATTAGTGCAACCATATATATCACATAACATTTTTCACCTGCATTGTATTTCTTGTTGGCCAATTGATCACATGGTATTTAATTCCGGATAGAAGTGTTCATGAATCAGTCCTAATTAAATTCGGTTGGCTTTTGGAAATTTTAGGCGTGGGAAATTTAAGGCTCTGTTTGGTTTAAGAAAAAAAATATTTTTTTTATTTTCATTTTTTAGAAACTAGTTTTTATTGTTGTTATTTGTTTTTAAAAATGTATTTGGTAGATGAAAATAAAAATTGTTTTCTAAAAATGCAAAAATAAAATAAATAAAATATTCAATGATATTATTATTAATGGTATCTAATTATAAATATAATATATATATTAATTAATTAATAATATTAAAAAGTATTCAAATATGATAACATGCAAAAAATAAAAAAAAAGTAATGTACATCTCTTATTTTCACTATTGAAAATATATATTTTTTGTTTTTATATTTCAACCCATTTTTATTTTTGTTTTCTAAAAATTTATTTTCATTTTTAATTATCAAATACGTTTTCACTCATATTTTTTATTTTTCAAAAAAATGAAAACAAAAAATATTTTTATTTTCTGAAACCAAATACTACCTTAGTAATTGAACCGTTTAGTTTCCAACTTGGCTACCTTAGCCCTAGGAAATAATTTTCAACTTGGATTCTAAAAATAAAAAAAGGCTTAGCTACATTCGGATGTCCAAAAATCTTCAAAAAGGACAAAAAAAACCATTATATGTATATCAACTATAAAATTTCTTATTTATTATTTATTAAGTAAGCATTAATAAATATTAACATAATATAGCAATTTGCCAACAATAACTTGATCTATGATAAAATATTAGATTCTTAATTTTAATAATTAATAATTTTAAATATAAAAAAATAATATAACAAATTTTAAAAAATGACTAAAGAATACTTGTTAACGAAATCGCTCAAAGTAACTATACCAGCTCAGCATAACAAAATACTAGCTACTAGGGTGGTTTGGTCATTTACAAACTAAACTATAGAATTTATAATCTCTATTATAGATTATAAATTTGGTTATTTAATTTGATCCGACTCCAATGCTAAATACAGGTCCAAATGCATATTAAAAAAGTTAGGAGTGATAAAAAAGACTAAATGAATTGGTAATTACTGAGCAAGCGAGCTGTCGCAAATAGTTGGTGAATTGGAGGGGCAATTATGTTTAGAGGCTGTGGAATCAGGAAAAATGGTTTAGTGGCTATAAATGTTATAAAAACATCTTAATTAATTGCATTTTTAAATATTTGCCTCATAAAAGAAAAAAGTTGTGGGATTTTTTTTAGTATATTAGGGTTTTTTTTTCTTTTCTTTTTTTCTTAAGGCATGCACAACATAGATTTTTCAGCTAACTTAGCGGAACAACCATAAAATTAATTATTTCATAAATGAATGGACTCCAATCAATTAATTAACGAGTGCCTATAGTCACAAACTAAATATATAATCAATTATTACATTATTAAATAATTAATTATTAAATAATCAACTAATAAATAATAATTTAACTTAATAATCAAATCCATGTGTAATAAAACTTTATCCTAAAATCTTAGGATTTTAGAACATTCTCTTTACTATTAAGTCATGATCTCATTGGCAGATTAAAGATAGTTAAAATATCATTTAAAAATGATTTTTGCATATAATGCATTATTTTCACTCAATCCAAAAAAAGATCATACATTAATTACATTTCTTTTATTTAAATATCATCTCAATCAGTATCATTAGGCCCTAATTAACATTTTCGGTGAATTAATTAATCCCTTATCTCTGCCTCATTATTCCTACAGGTTGGTAATTGAAAGTGGTAAAGATTAAAAATTAATACAACGGTGTCAAAGTAACGGGGTGGTGGTTAACTTAGGTGGCGCATCATTGTTTTGAACATTATTTTATATTAATGAAATATTATAACTGCCCATTTTTAGGCAACGGAATTTCAACCACCTTCTTAAGATTCTTTCCCGCCTAGCTTTTGGCATGGCTTTATCATTGCTACATCAATTTCAACGGCTGGATTTAAGGCATGATAATGTCAATAAAAAGTGTACGACGTCAAATCTGCCCTATCAAACTGTTGAGGATAAGTGTCCTTTTGCTTAGAAAACAAGTTAAAACAAAAGAGGATTAATTGCAATAGTCACCCAATACTATTAAAAAAATCATTGATTAAACATGATAATATGGAATAATGGACTCCACATATTTTACCTAACATGAAAAATATTTTAATATATATTATGCGATAATTTCTTTTATAAATAAATTAGTTTTTATGGTATTTTAATTTCAGCAGAGAATATATTAAGGGTTCTAAGATAATATATTAAAGGTATTCTTGAAAAGATAGAAGAAAATGATAGTTAAAAATAAAGGTAAGAAGTGTTTTTTATTTTTGCATTTCGATGCGTAAGTCTTAATATGTGAGATCGAAAGAAGAATAATAAGAAGAATTATGAGTGGAATGAACTTACTTTAATAGTATCTGAACTTTTATATTTATAGATACTTGATAAGAGACCATTAGGAGACAATAAGGATAGTGTCGAACTGATGTGGCATTGAGTATGTTAGACCGACCTGACATATTAGGTTGACATAAATGTTAAAATTACTTTTGGTTGTTTGCTGAAGGCTTCTAACATGAAAAAAGATCACTATACCTTTTTTATCACTAAATGTTCCAAACATTCTGTTCCCCCATCGAGCAATCTGAGTATTAGACTATTACGTATATGATTGCCACATTCCATGTAGGGCGAATATGTAAAAGAAAAAATGTGAAGTTGGATTCCTCGTAGCCAACATCATAGAGGAGATCAACATCAGGAGATAAGTAGTTTTAAGTTGTGGTCCGACCTGGTAAGGGTTTGATCTTGGGCATATGACTTGGGTTGGCTGTATAGCTGACTTGAAGGTCATCGAGGTGTTAATTGCTCGGAATGATTCAAGATTAGTGTTGGAGTTTGTTTAGTCGATGTGAGACTTGTGTTTTATTACTTGGTGGAGGGTTCAAGTCTTTATTTTAAATTCTAACGACATATTAGATATCCGATCTATCTCGAAGAATTGTTTGGTTTGTCCGGTTTGACTTGGGGTTCGTCTAGTTTGATTAGCTGATGGCATTAAAGGAGGAGAAATGTAGTTTAAGATGAAAAATTTAAAGAGGGAAGACAAAAAAATATCTTTTCATTTTTACTCTGACATGTGGCATGGTTTGTACTGTTTATCTGATTTATGGCGCAGTTATATAAAAGGCTGTTAAAGCTTTCATTTTTTATCTTGCTGTTTTTTTTGCTCTCAGTCTGATCTAAAATTTTTAATCTTAAAGCATTTTGACCTTAAAGTCATTCTTCTTATTACCCATTTTTTTCCATTTTCTTCGATATGTACTTTTAACTATGTCTTCTAGTTTAAGTTCTAAAGAGGCCAATAGTTTTAGGGTAAAACCTAAGGGAGGTTAGCTTAAGTAGAATGATGACGACCTAATTCAACTAGTCATCAGAGGTCGTGATTGTCAAAGGATAGCTTTTGGTTCAACCCAATATCTAAAGAAGGGCAATAGTAAAACGAGGACAATGCTTGGGTAAAAGAAAAACAAGTTCTGAACACAAATGAACTATGTGCTCAGATAAGTTTTAACTTACAAAATTCACCTCCTTTCTTTATCTCTCAGGTCAGTTCATTTTTTATGGCTGACCTTTATTCCTCTTTGGCTATTTCTTTTTTTACGGTTCATTTTCATAAGTTTTTTTCTACTTTTACTTTTCCACCTTTTGATGTTCTTGTTGTCACTTTTATTTCACCTCAGTTAGTTCTTGTTAAGATTATTTCTTCTCCTGAAAGGTTCTACCTCATCATTCTTCTTCTAAAGTTATGTTGCTCTCAGCCATGGTTCAACCTTGGAATCATACTCTTATTCAAAAGTTAGAGTCTTCTGACAATAGAGATTCTGATGATAAAGAGGTTTTCAAAGAGGAACAAAGGGAAGGGAACAGCACGGTTGAAGAAAGTGATAGTGAAGAGGGGATCCTAAGGTGCAAGATGAATTAGTCGAGGTTCTTGTATATACTTATTGTGACCTTGGTATAATTTTTAAGGATATGATAAGGGAACTAAAGGGATGGGCTAATCTTGAAGACTATCCTAATATATGTTAAGTTCATCACGTCCGCACTCTGGATATGACCTTTTTTTTTTATTCAGAAAAGGGTATAACATATTAATGCCAAACTCTTCAAATCGAGACATTGATAGATTGTAACCATATCAACTGTATGTATGTTGGGATTCATTCATGGTTGATTTGAGATTTTTGCTTCATTATTTGTTTATTTTAATTTTTAATTTTT